CATCTGTTTGCTGACAGTGGAATGTGAGATCTTAGATCCCATTCTTGATGCTGAAGGAGGTCCCGCAGCAACTGCAGACTTCTACCTGATTCTTATGTTCTCAAATTTGGCTCTTCCACTTTGTCTCTTCTATTGCCATCACTTTCTCTTGATTCCTTCTGTGAATAAAGCATCTTCCTTCTTGAATTCAAGAAAGTCATGCTCCCTGCCTTCAGCTCCAGCTCCCAGATCAGTCAGAATGCAAGAGGAAAGCTTGCTAAGCCCCTGTTGCCTAGACATGGAGCAAGTTCATTTGTTCAGTGATTCATACATATACATTAGTCACAGGAAGTAGCTGTGATGGGATGGAGCAAGTCTAAAAGAAAATGCTCATATGAGGGTTTTTTTTCCCCCAGGGTCAGTCTTGAGTAGTTTTAGATAATCCAAATCAGAGCCCTGATTCCCAGGGTTTCCCCAGCCAATTTTGATCCTTAGATTCTCTACTATAACTCCCACATGAAACAGTTTCAAGAGTTTTCCTTTAGCAACAACGGCAAACACTGCATGTCTCGTCTCACTCTTCGAGAGACCTAAACTATTTTTGCCACAACTATTAGAAAATTGGTTCAGCTGGCACCCAGGAAGCTAAGATACAATCCAGTGATGAATTTACTATGGGTTATAAACAACGAAAAACAATTGAGAACAGGGATTTATGATGAATGTTTCAGACAACAAATGCCAGATGGTTTTAATCGTTGAAAATATAAACAAGGTCCAAAAGTGCATTCCTTCTTCAAAGAATTCAGAGTCAATGCTTCAGGCAGTCAGCTGACAAAATCTTTGCATGAATTTTCACAAATGACCCAAAATAAACACCTAAAATGTGATAATATTCCCAGAGCTTTCTTTTGCTTTTAATAAGTCTAACACTATTAGAAATAATGTGATCTTGGTGATTAGGAAGAAACAAGGTTTTTCTGTGTTTATTCATTTCCAGTTAAAAAGTAAGAATAATACTGATTTTTAGAATTATTCATAATTTTTGTCAAGAAGAAGTTAACATGTATCAACAGAGGCATCCTCAAAGGATGTTTTCATCCTTCTACTTCATATAAAACCCTGAACTTGATTGGACAGGAGGTACATTCCACATCAGACTGTTCGCCAGACTGAAAACATGCGTTAGAATTTTGTAACTGAATAGGAGATTCAGACAATCTAGTTGGACGCCAGTTATGTCTTAGGCCACTAGACTCCATCCACCAAACTGCTAATCTCAATCGTTTACTTACTTATTGAGTTCCTCAAGCTGAGTTGACCAGATGCAGTCTGTTCATAAAAAGACTTTAAAATGTAGTTGAATAAACTGTCTGAACATAAAATTTTGTTACTTTTAATTATGCTTTCCCAGTGTCAGGCTATGATGCTAGACTTCATAAATCATCTCAATAGCTTTTACTTACAGAGTAGGTTACAAGCCATGAAGAGTTTTGTTTGAGGTACTGTACAATATATCTGGCAGATTAATCACTCTTTTGTCCTAGAAATCGACTTGCAAATTTGGAATAAATTTGACCCACAATGCGCCTTAAATTCTCAGAAGCCATCTGCTATATTTTCCCAGCATACTGCAAATTAAAATGCGAAGAGCACTTGTGTTTGCATTAGGAACACCAAATGTCAACAAGTACTGTCAACTGATGAATTTCAAAATTTAATTCTGTAAAGGGCAGCAGGAAGCAGCTTTAATTTGCTTCTCCACAAACACCTGTTTTAAAGATCTATTCAAATATGGAATATTCTTTCAAGACCAAATCAAGATCGCTTTAACTCTGCTGGAACAATTCTGATGGTTAATTACATCATTATCTAGATATAGCTTCAAAGGAAGGCTCAGGTTTGCCAGTTTCCTTTGCTAAACGTGCTTTTATTGCTGGGAAAGACTGGAGATCTAAAGGAGCTGTAATTCATAAAAGAATTTCGGGAGTTTTATTGCACAGATCACAAATGGGAAGAAACATGGTTAGCGAACTAACAAACACAAATTTGGTAGATAAATCACTTCTAGTAAAACATATGGGTCTTTACTGAGAAACTTCAGCAAACTTATTTGTCTGATAAAGAAAATGTATTTGATTTATACAGTCATACTGAGCTCAAACACCAAACAGAAACATTCACTTTTTAACACAACCAATTTAGCATTTTTTCTCACTACAATAGATTACTTTTAAACAGTCTTTTACCCTAAATTACAAAAAAAAAAAAAAAGCATGCTACAGACATTACATAGCAATACATAAGACAGTAAATATATTCCCAGTTGGCAAACAGTATTCTTTAACTGCAATGAAATGGGAAACTTACCAGGATGCTTGGTCTCCATGCAGATTTCCAGGTGACACCACATCCTCAAGAGTGCCATTTTGATATATGTTAGTGCCAGCACAGATAACATATTCTTTGAACACACTGCATTGTTGTGTCAGACTTTAAGCAGGTCATGTGAAAGAACGCCTGCTATTTTGAACACCAGATCAAAGAGAAACTTCATGACAGAACCCCTGAAACGGATATGAGAGCATGTATGTTCAGTTCAGCAGAGCTCATTTAGCATGGCCTCCCCCAGCCAGTACGAGAGATACCATCAGACAGTCTCCTATAAGTTCACACAGAGCTGAGTGTTTTGAAGGGTGCAGTTTCTTCTACATAGCTCACACATGCTGACGTTTTTTGTTTCAACATAGTTAAAATGAGTAATTACCTACTCATGTGTCTGTGTTGTCTTCGTGGAGTGCCTGACATTTGGAACATTGAACAGGTAAGCAAGCCCAAGCATCTTTTTTCTTGAGAATCACATCATTATGTTTATTCCTCTACTGAGATGTCCTTACATTACTTACTGTATGTCAGCAAATGTAGCTAATGATACACCCCCTTCGCTTTATCAGAACCAGGAGCTTCTTAAATACATTGGGTAAAGGATGTCTCAGCACCTGAAACGTGTACTTCTGTCAGTAATAATCACGAAGTTGTTCATTTTATACCAAACATTTCTTTTTCCTCACGTATAAAAGCAAATTAATTGTCAAAGTAGGAAATAATTTACACATCTTTCATAAAACTAATAACCTCCTATCAGAGGAAATATGTGAGGATCCAGATCCAGCAGCTGTATATGAACAACCCTAGCCATCAGCTTGCTAATAATCCCAGAAATAGTTGTTAGATGCATTAATGTCTCTTGCTGACTGCAATACAAAGTAATAATTTCTAAACCAGCAAATGACAAAAATATGCTTTTAGACACTTAAAGGCTAATAACAATTATGTTTAAAACATTTTATTGAAAATACTGACAAGCAAAGCTGTAAACAGGTATTTATGTATATGATATCCTAGACATAGTGGAGCAGCACTACACCTTCTGCAGACCAAGTATGATTCTTGGCTTTACTAGACAGCTATTTCCACATGTACTGATAGGTGGGGAGGTGTAACTGGTGCTGCCCTGGATAAGACAGCACAGCCCTGCTGAATTTTTAATCACAGCAGAAAAATAAACATGCTACAACATGAACCCAATTGAGAACACTTAGCTTACCTCCTAAGATACATGAAGCACTAAAATATTTTTCCTACTACTGTGTAAAAAGAAGATGCAGACGAAACTAGATTAGGTCATATTCAGTCGTGGAATAGTCTGAAGCAGTCTTCACCTCACACACCTACCCAAAGTGAAAACACACCACTGAAATCCCTAAACTGAGAGGGTCTGGAAGGTGCAAGAAAGCCTGATTTGAGATGGTCCCTGTTAAAATTCACCATCTTTTCCCACTTTTTTAATGAAAAAGAGAGTATTTTTAAGGGAAGGGCATTGCTATTCTGAGTTATTCTGGCCTACTAAAATCTACTCATTGAAAGATCCCTCTTTTTATTTTTTTACTTCAAGGCTATTTGAAATTTTTCCAGTACAAATCATGATTTCTGTCAGGAAGCAGACTCAGCCAAGCTGTCAGTTTGTACTTCGTCCTGGTTTGAAAGTACAAACCTGGACACAAGAGATACAGTTATAAATCCCTCATCACGATTCTTGAGAACCCCTGCTGTTTAGGTACCTAATGTTTTTTGTCTAGGTAACAGTCCACTAGTTTTGATTGCCCACAATTCAAATCCCTTGTAATGAATAAAAAAACTTGCAACAAACTCAGCTTTAAAAAAGACGAACTCAGCAGATTCTTTATTTAGATGGGGATGATAAGGTGATGAGAGGACCTGTAACCGATGTGACACCAAAGCTATGACCTGGAATGCCCGACCCCCCTCGCCCAAAGAACCTCCTTCCCAGGTACGTGCGACAAGGTTCGCGAGCGATTCAGGAACCATTCCCAGTTCCCTGATGTTTGCGAACACCTCACGGAAGTGGAAAAAAACCTCACCAAAGAGCAGCAAAAAGAAATAGCGTAATTTTCTGTCTCAACCGTCAGCTTCACGCCTTTACTTCAGAGCCGGCCTCTCCCTTCCAGGCGCACTTACAAACCCGAGCTCTAACCGGGACTGTGCAGCTGGCGGCAGGCACGTGTCGCGACCTCAGCCCGTACCAAGCCCGCCGAGCTTCCGGCCCCGCCGCTCCAGACCTCTGCCGCCGGCCTGAGGCGGGAGTTCCCTCCACCCCGTCAGAGCTACAACAGTGCTCGCTAGTCCCGCTCCCCCGAAGGCGGATGGGCAAGGTTTCACCCCTCCTCGCAGTACCGCGGCTGACGGTAACACCAGCCATACCGCCGTGAAGCCCACCCCCACCATCGCAACAATAAACGAGCTCCGTTTCCCACTCCGCGCCAGACAGCCCCGGAAGCTCCCATCGCACCACCCCCTGCCCCGGGAATCCCTGCCCCCTGGGAAGCTCTGCCCCCCACCCCGGGCCAGTGGCCGCCGCCACCGCACGCTTGCGTCGTGCAGCCCTTGTGGTAGCGGTGACGGGGGCGGGTCTGGGAGCTGCAGCGGGTGACGTCATCCCCCCTGTCCCACCGTCGGCACCGCCTCTGCCCGGCGAGAGAGGGCTGGGACTTGCCGGCTTGCAGGCGCCGCCATGGCTGCCATATTGGGGAGGAAGTGAGAGCGGGAGGCGGCGGCGGTGGCCAGGAAGCAGCCCTTCCCTTTTCCCTGCTGCTTCGGCGGACGCAGGCTTCACGGCAACGGCGGCTTGTGAGACCCCCGGAGCGGGCGGTGTAGAGGCGGCAGCGGGTGGTGGTGGAGCTGAGCGCCCCGGAGGCGGTGTTGGCCTAAGATGGCGGACCCGGCGGAGTGTAACATCAAAGTGATGTGTCGCTTCAGGCCCCTCAACGAGTCCGAAGTGACCCGTGGCGACAAGTACATCGCCAAGTTTCAGGGCGAAGACACCGTCGTCATCGCGGTGAGGGGCCGCCCCGGACGGGAAAGGCGGGGGAAGCGCCGGGGAGGGGGTGTCAGGGGTCGGCGGGGTCAGATACTGCGGGGATGGGTGCGGTGTGAGGAGAGAGGGCAGGGCTGAGGCTATCGGGAGCCCTCGCGGGCGGGGATGCTGAGGGAAGAGGGGTGGCCTTTTGGGGGTGGGGGGGCTGAGGGGGGAAGGGAAGGAGAGCAGGCAGAGCTGTGGATGAGGCCGGCCAGCCTGGATGGGGCAAAGAGCAGGGAGCTGATAGGGGCAGAGGTCCCCGGGCAATAGGCTTTGGGGTTGTGGGGGCACGTCAGAGGTACCAGATCAGGATACCTCTGACAAAGACTCTAGCGGAAGGCTTGCGACTTGGGGCGAAGCGTGAGGTTTCGGTGCCGAGCCTGAGCCACAGGGCACGTTTCAGTGTGCCTGCAGAAGCGTGAATTGCGAGGTGAAGAGTAACAACCGAGTCCTGCAGTGTGTCCCCTGGCTGGGCTGTCTGATGTTGGCGGTGATGGGTTTGACCGCCTAAATACGGGCTCAAAATGCATGCGCTGGGGCTACCATCGGAGTAATTGCCTACAGAGACTTTTTGGGGACGAAAACGAAGAACTGTAGTGCAGGCTTCGGTTCAGTGGTGCTTGTGATCTGTAAATTAGTCTTGGGCTAATAACTTTGTTTTCAGTCAGAATAAACAGTCAGTTTGGCTTATTACATGCTTGTAAATGTATTTTAACCGAAGTCACCTTGCAAAGTATGAGGCCTATTACAAAACAATCTGGATGTTACAGGGACAAGACAATCTTTTCCTTTTTGTTCAGTGTTTCATATTTAGCTACAAAGTGAAACTGGAATATAGAAGTGCAGTAGTTTATCACCTGGTTTAGTCTGTATTGTACAAGCACGCTTCATTCCCAGTGTTTGTTTTATTCTTGCTGACTTCTCATTTGTGTTTTAATGTAAATACTTTTCTTTCTAGAGTCAGTGGTGGTTCTGCATTGCTGAAAGTAACTTAGATGTCAGTTATACATCTTCGAATTTTGCTTTTTATGTTGTTTCTTGAGGCTACCGGTAAGAGCTTTTCCACACAGTATCTGAAGTTGAGGTGATTAAATAAAATACTTTGTTTGAGTGTGACTTACTAAATACTAGTGCTCTAGTCTGTAATTCAGCTGATTTTGTCAATAAAATATGGAATTCCATTAATCTGGAGCTGCAAGAGTGATAGCATGCTTGTGAAATGAGGTAATTTGGGTTTATTTCATCTGGCAAGTGAGTATCTTGGAGTACATCTCTTCTTTCTGAGATTGTACAGGTAAACTCCTCAGAGTAAGGAACCAAATCTGGAACACAGAAAATTGAACCAGAACAAATGATCTCACTTCCATCGGTGAATACCCATTCATTATGATGCTGCATATTCTGTTTAAAATCCACAGTTAAGTTTAGAAACTTGATGTGTTCTGACTTTTTAAAAACAAATTTTTCACATCATCTTTCATTAATTCTAGTCTAAAAAAAACCTTACATTGTTTAAATACTCGTTAAGTACACTAAAAAATATCTAAAATGTAAACTGGGCTGAAGTGGTGCCATGTCTGAATAGGACAGTCTGATGGCATGCTCCTGTGGGATTGTGGAGGGCTTGGGGTTAATATTTAGTATTACAACTGTACTTGGGTGTTTTCTGCATTGGTAAAAATGACAACAGAAAGTCCTTCAGTGTTCCTAGGTCCAGGACTTGCTGTGTTTGGCTTTGGGAAAAACGGCCCCAGAAATTATATTGGGTAGCAGTGGCAGTAGTTGTGTTCTGTTTCACACAATCTTAAGATTGATATTCTGTGATCTTTGTTTTTATAACGATAGGTATATGACCAGATCGATGTTCTCAGTGTTGTGACTTGATTCTCTAAAACTGTTGAGACAATTACTTTGATTGTTGGGTTTTTTTTTTTTTGTTGGTTTTGGGTTTGGTTGTTTGGGTTGGTTTTTAGTTTTTTGGTTTTTTGGTTTTTTTTTTTACCATTTTTATGTTTAACAAGCTTGAGTTTTTACAAAGTTGTGGATCTTCCAACCTGAGCCTGTAGCCAGCCACCTCGAGTGTTTGTGTGTATGTTGTAGAATTGTCCGAGGGAGGATAGGAGCAGAATCAGCCCGTCTCATGAAGCAGTTTCTAAAAACATTCCCCAATAAGCTGTGTGTTTGGTTTCTTTCAGGTTTTTGATTTCTGCTTTTATTGCTACATGTCATATTGACTGCCTGTTGGACAGTAATTGAGGCACTTTTTTATAGCTGCTTTCCTCAGCTGCCTGCACGACTCACACCCTCTCTGTGTGCCTGGATCTGTGCTGAAACAGTGAAGGCGTCTTTAATAATACTTGGGAGTTGCCTGTAATGGTAGATACGTGAAAACTGGGAGAGGGTGGAAGCAGGGCTTGTACCAGACTGCAGATTTGACTCCTCTGTGCAGGAGGGTGGGAACGGAAGTCAGTGACTGTAACCGAACCCCCCTCCTTCCTTGACTCCCCTGTCATCTCTTAAGCTGTCTATCCTCCCTTCTTTTCCTGTCTCTTGTGTAGGAGGAGTCACTGGCATGATCGTCTTTCTGGACAAGTGAGCCGTTTTGATTTGTGTTAGAGAAAATACTTGTTTTAGTTGTAGCTACTATGGAACAGCAATTTGAGGGGATGTATAGTGCTGGTCTGTTTTAAAGAGCAGACTCTGAAAATGTATTGTCCTTCCTGAGGACAAAACTTTTTTAACTTGTAAAGAGCTTTTAAATTATTAATTAATGGTAGCTTCTTTCCAGCTTAATATTTAATTTTTTTCCCTAATGGTTCTTCCTGTCAAATAAAAATAAGGTGTTTACTAAAACAGGTAATAGGATGACTTGCTATGAGTATATGGCTTTTATGTTAAACATTATAAATGTACCTGTTTACAAAAATTAATAACAGTTTGCTCATCGATTTCAGGCTTTTGCAAAAGGTGAAACAGGGAAGAATAGAAAGCTTATAATATATATATGTCCTTTATTTTTTCAGATATAAACCTGCTTGTAATTGAGTAGCTTTATAATTCTGCATAACGTCTCTATACTTCTTTCTTAAAGATATTTGTATACCTAGTCTTTCTCATCTTAAAACTATCCAAAAGATGAGGTAGATTACTGAACACAGTGGCACTCAAGGACTCTGGGCTGAAGCCTCAACTCTGAACAGTACTATCGAATGACTGAAGTGGTGAGGTATTACTGGCATTCACACAAATTGGCAGTATTCCGCTGTTGTCCAAATCTTTCTAGTAGTTATCATAGCATATTCCTTAGTTCTATGGCTTTGAAGAGAAAATCATGGCTACCTGTTTCCAATTTCATATTGGTTTAGAGTTTGGGTTTGGTTTTTTTTGTATGCAGGTGTAACCCCTGTGATCCTGGGAGTAGCTTGAGACATTCAGCTTTTAAATTAGTATTAGTAAATGAATGCAAGGTTAAAGTCACATTAGAATCAGGTTAATGAAGATCACTTGTTAATGCAACTTTTGGCACAAGATACTGAAAAGGAAAACCTAATTCAAGTACGTTGCTGAGAGGCAGGCTGTGCTGGACTGTATGAATGCGAGAAGCAAGGTGCACTCTTAAAACAACTTTAGGGTGAAGAAGAGCACTTTTAAAATCAGAAACACGAAGGAAATGCTTCATGGCTACAGTGGGACTTTATAAACATGCATCGGAAATCGCAGTCTGTAGCTGAAACAATAATATTCATTCAGTGTTACTCTAATTTATGTTATTTTACTTCATCCCTTGATATGCTAGGTAATAGAGATTTTTCAGGTGATACTGATAAACTGATTTAAAAGAAAGCAGCTGTTCTAGTTTACAGTAATGTGTAAAGGGAAAACTGTACTCCTTGACTGCTGTGCCACTTACTTAGAAGCACCTTGATCATATTTGGCTTTTGTCTAAAATGTAGTGACAATTTTTATGCCAGCAGTGCTTGCTTTTCTCTTTAGAAGAAATTTAGTAAGTAAGTAAATCTTGGCTGAAACTCTTGTTCCAAAATTCCTCTCTTGTTTTGATGCTGGAAATTGAATTTCTAGTCACATTTTTTTGTTTGTTTTTTTCTTTTTGTAAAATTGCGTGGTTTTTGTAACAGTAAATAACTGCTGTAAAAGTTGAGAAAGGAGTTGCAGTATTCACACAGAAAAATAGGACAGAAAGAGCTGCATTCTGCATTGGCCACAGTTATGTATGTATAGAGATAGGACAAGAAGAAAATCAGTTTTCATTATCCTAAATATAAAATACTGATTTGAAAGAGTGCCTTTTCACTCATTCACAGTGTTTGACTCCCATTAGGTGTGTCAAAGCAGCAATACCTTAGCTTAGTAATGGAAAGAACTGAGTCAAGTATTTGACATAATACTTTACAGAGATTATTTGGTGTGCAGTTTTTCTTTTAACATATTTCATGCTGATGGGAAGAATGCTCTTTAACAAAGATGCAGAACTTTAGGGACAGATAAGCTCATTACTTACTACTTCAACCTCTCATCAAGAATAAGCTAACTTGGGTGGTGTAACACTGTTTTAACTGGCCATTCTAGCAATAAATAGCAAAGAGCATCTGCATATGTTGTGGCAGGAAAATACACTACTGATTTTTTAAGTGAATTTTCATTACTGCCTTTGCTGCAGGTACTAATGCATAAAAAATAAGGGGAATGTAGGTAATGACAGAGATATCCAATTCTGTGGTTTATGGAAACTTATAACAGTAAAATAAATAAATTTCTGTGGAAATAACCTCAAGTGTTTCTTGGACTTCTGAGGTAGGATTTCAGTCTAGTTTTCATCCTAGATTTTTATATAGAGATCATTGAAGGTACTGTACAAAACCTAACTTCCATGAAGAAACTCATGCATGCTTCAGTTCTTGTATAATTTAGATGAATTGAGCATCCTTTTATATAAGGATAACTGGTAGCTAGTCTTCAAATTAACTGCATCACTGTGTTCTTGAACTTAAAACACTTCATTAAGATTCAGTTTTAACTACTGAGAAATCATGTTGGCAGATGTCCTTTTTTGAGGGCTGTGAGAGTGGTTGCAGTTTTTGCTGTGGGATCACATCCCTTCAGTACAAGCAAGTTTAGGAGCTGAAACTGCCTTGCAGTTGGTTACTGTCTACTCAAGGAGTGAATGTAAGTGTTGAATTTTCTCTGTTCAGAGAGGAAGACAGGTTCTGCTTGTTCATGTAATATTTTGGGTTGCTTATGTCATGTGTGTTAAATTGTCATTAAGATTTGAGCAATGCAGAAAACTTCTCGAGTGTGTTAGAGCAGCATCATGGTAGTGACACTGTTGCTACCGCTGTCATAAACACCGTGTGTTTTTGTGTTTTCAGTTCATGGTATCTGATTGTTTACCACTTGGGGAGGAAAAGTCATCTGGTATAGAAAAAATATCTGCTTTAATCTTTCTTGATTAATCTCTTAAAGGTAATGAAGAGGCTTTCTAGGGCAGGGTAATCTGTGTAATACTGTTTTAGCTTTGTTTACAGCAGAAAGACTGTAAAAAGAAGTGATAAGACATAGATGTCGTATGTCAAATGTCAAAGATGTGAAACCATGCTGAGTGGGAGTAACCTGTATTCTTAAAACATAATTATCTTGGAACCTGCTTGGCTAAACCTACTGATTCAGTGATGATGGAGCAGGGACATGCCTCTAATGTGGGGTTTCATAGGTGTGATGAATGAACTGTGACCTGGGATAGGAGGGAGATACATAATTGGGGTTTTGAGTGCTTTGAAATTGTATTGTGGCTTCATCTAGGAAGGTATAATAAAAAGGGCATATAAACAGATATTCTACTTTCCACCTGCAAGGGATAGGGAAGTGACAACTGGTGTAAACATGACCCCTCTGAGCATTCATTGGCCACAATTAGTAAATTTTGTGGGTATGTTGATAGCAGTCATTAGCTTGAGGGAAATTGGAATTTGTCATGTGCCTAGCTGCTTTCATTGTATAAATAAGCAAGATCAATTAAAGGCATCACTGTATGAGTGAAGGCCTTCCAGCTTGGTTTTCTGTTCTTACTAGTCCAGGGCATTCTTCATATGTGCTATCCTTTATATTAACATTTTATAAAATGGGAGAGACTGTAATTATATTTGATACTGTAATTTGGCTCTTTTATGAAGACATTTAAATGGCGAATGGCAAGTAGATAGTCTAAAAGTGTTCTTTGTTTATGGATTATTCTCAAATTAGTAAACAGTTTTCCTTTAACACAGATAAAGAAGAGCAGTTCAATTTGGACAAGCTTTGCTTGGCAGAAAAAAAAGAAACCCCAACCCTCTAAACAGTGCTTCACATTTTGGAGGAGGAAAGCTTTTTTTAGAACCTGCTGCAAATACCTGCAGATTGCAGGCTGGTGCAAGTTGGGCCTACAGTTCTTTCTAAACTCCTCTACCAGAAACTAGGCCTGAATAACTGATTTATTTATGAAGTTGGATTTTGTAGAAGTAAATAAAAAAAATCTGCTGTCTGGCATCAGAAATATTCTGTAGTAATATATAAATTCATAACTATGTATGTATATCCACACATTCAAACACATACATGATGCAAAATAAAGTGTTTTAATGTACTTTTCTGTTGGGAACAGCAAAGATCAGATATGTTGATCTGTGAGAAATAGTGTTGTTAATACTTGCTGCATAGACTGTCAGAAGAGCATATCCAGGAACTTTTCCTAAGTCTTCCAGAATCAATTGAATTGGAATAATTGTCATCTGAAACAATAATTTAGAGAAGATTTAAGTCTTGCAAGTATAAACACATAGATTGCTAATGCTAGAGAGGTTGTTTGCTGTGACTTTGAACACTTGGTTTTCTTGCTGTATTTCTCCAGTGTGTAATGGTAAATATGGTCCTCCCAAATGGCATTATTTCAGTGCATGTAAATATGCACTTGAGCATGAGACAGATCTGATTAATGCTTAGTGATATAGAAAAGTTTCAGTGTGTAGCATAGCTGATTGATATTGTGAAGTTGAAGGCTTTTTGGAACTCCAGCTGCTAGTGAGAAAGAAAATGTATAGCTTGTTACCTTTTCTAGAATCACCTTTGTATGTAACATGTTTTCAGTCTTCATTTTCTTACCTCAGGTTTACTTGAACTTACTAGTTGTTTGTTTCATAGTGTATGTGATGGCTTCAATTCTGCCTGTAGAGCATAGGAATTTGAGATGTATTTGAAACTAACATGAGTAATCAAGAAGGCTTGTGATTTCCCCGCTCTGAAACAAGCATTCTGACAAACTTCATCACCTTAGGGATAGTTTCTGCCTACTGAGTCTTGTGGTTTCTTGAGTGTATTTACACAGCGAATGCTGTAATTATTTTTTTCCAGGAGGGAGCACATCCACCTGAATTCAAGCCCTCTCAGCAGATAGATACATGTTGAATCTAAAAAGCTTTCTTCTGTGTTACACTAGACTTTATTAAAAGACAAATGGAAGGTCAGGCTGGGGAAGGGAATGTTGTGGGTGGATGAAAGATGGAAGCTATATGCTTCTTTGCCAGAGAGGCAGTTCCAGAATATCCTTGAGGTAGGATGATAATGAATTAAATTTAGGCAAAATACTGCACTTAACAGTTGCAGTTAGTTTATCAATGGTAACTGACCGAGGTCCCGTGTAAACTTTGCCTGTCTGCTTACTTACCAACTAAATCAAGCTCTTAAAATGCTACAAAAATTTGAACTTCATAAGGTGGCTGTAATAATTCATATCCTAATGGATGATCGGCTGCTTAGAACTATCCTGGCCCGCATCAAAAGGAGCGTGACCAGGAGTTTGAAGGAGGTAATCCTGCCCCTCTACTCTGCTCTAGTGAGACCTCACTTGGAGTATTGTGTACACTTCTGGTGTCCTCAACATAAAAAGGATATGAAACTGTTGGAACAAGTCCAGAGGAGGGCCATGAGGGTGTTCAGGGGGCTGGAGCACCTCCTGTATGAAGATAGGCTGTAAAGGCTGGGGCTGTTCAGCCTGGAGAAGAGAAGGCTGTGTGAAGACCTCATAGCAGCCTTCCAGTATCTGAAGGGGGCCTATAAGGATGCTAGGGAGGGACTCTTCATTAGGGACTGTAGCAACAGGACAAGGGGGCAGTGGGTTCAAACTTAAACAGGGGAAGTTTAGATTAGATATAAGGAAGAAGTTTTTTACTGTGAGAGTGGTTGCCCAAGGAGGTTGTGAATGCTCCATAGCTGGCAGTGTTCAAGGCTGGGTTGAACAGAGCCTTGGGTGATATGGTTTAGTGCAAGGTGCCCCTCCTCATGGCCCGCAGGTTGGAACTAGATGATCTTAAGGTCCTTTTCAACCCTAGCTGTTCTGTGATTCTAACTGCATTATGGAAATCTCTTCTATAAAGCAAAGCTGAATCCAACTTTCCTGTCAAATTCTGTATCAGAGCATTCTCTTACAGTGTCTCCAAAATGAGTCTCCTATGAAAGGTTCCCTTCTTCCAAAGTGGCCTTTTCCTTCTGCTAATGGAGCTTTATTTTAAGCATATCATGTATGGGGAAATAGTTCTTGTGCTGACTAGAGGTGATCTGAATGTTTTTTCTTGGTTTGAGGTTTTTAAGAAGTATTACCAAGATAGTCTATGTGATGTAGTATGAGCTGTTATTAATAATTTGGGTTGACCAGAGTAAACCTGCTGCTGGAGTAGAATAGAAGAACAGATTCTCAGATGTACAGATTTACTAGGCACTGGGTTGCCCTGTAAATCAAGTAAATTGAGGTCACGTGGCAAAGTAGTTTTGGAGAACTATTTAGATAACACTTTGAAAGCAAATATATTTAAGATCTTACTTATAGGTAAGCACGTGAAGATTTAGGCAACACTGTATAAGCTGATTTCCTCGCTGCGGTCTTCAGGTGCTTAAAATAAAACAAAAGATGGGTTGAGATAATACAGGCTACTTCTGTATGAACAAACACCTTCCAGTTCTACTTTTAATGTCTGGGTTTTTTTAATAGCTCTTCTGCTTGTTTGTTTTTTTTTCTAGTCCAAGCCATATATATTTGACCGAGTATTCCAGTCAAACACATCACAGGAACAAGTATACAATGATTGTGCTAAGAAGATTGTCAAAGGTAAGGTGGAACAAAAACCTTAACAGTAAGGAAATGTCTCCTATTCATATGGATTTCAGTGTTGAAAACTGATATGCCTATTGTTATCTTTTACCCTCTGAATGTTTAATAAGAGTCAACATGGATCATAGCACTATAAAATCATCCTGTAGTTGAGCTGATAAATTATGTCAGTTCCTAACAACTGTTTGTTGACTGAGACAGAAAGTTTGACAACATTTACCTGTCATGTCTTGTTTTTTTTTTCAGTTCTCTGCAAAAGTTTGTTTAGAACAATTTGTCAGTAATTGATCAAAAGAATTCTTATGAATTAATATTTACTTCCCCCCCCTCAAATTTGTTGGTGAAAACATTCTACTTTAGTTTGTTTGGAGGAATATAAGAGGAAAAGTATCTTGTTAAAACCCCTATATGCTATAGATCTTTTCTGTGCTTGTTTATTTAATACACAGTTGAGGATTTTTTCAATATGATTTTTAGTTTCACAATTAAAAGTTTAAACGTGAATTATCGTTGTGCTGTTTCTCCAAACCTGAATTGGCCTAGTAACTTTAGAAAATCAAGTCTCATCCTAAGGAAGGTTATTCCACAGTATGTTGCTGTAGTAAGGTGTTAGCTTGTTTCCTGAAGATAAAATTGATTAATTTCTTGAGTTCAGTTTTAAGTTCTGACACAGCTTTCAAAACAGCTTTAACACAGCCTTGTCAAAACCCCCTGAAGTATCAGCTATTAGCGACAAGAGAAGATGAGTTAAATGTAGGAGTCTTTTGATCATTATAAAAGTGAATTACTGTGTAAAATCCATGCTGCTGCAAGTGTTTGAGCCTTTAATGAGTTAAATAGTAATCTAAGATTAGATCAGAAGTTTGCTTCTTAAAAACTGGAGGTAACTAAGAGTTGTAATGCTGCCCCCTTTCTCCATCTAAAAATCTGATCTCTGTTTCTCTGTGCAGCGTTTCTAGGCTGTGCCGCATCAAGTGGCAAATGAGCTCTGATGGTGGTAGAAATGGATGATGGGTGTGATGGGGTGGCAAAGCCTTCCCCATTTGGAGTATCTTATGATTATATTTGGAAAATAGGATTTTTGCTTGCAGGATGTGATTCAACAGTAACTGACTTGTAAAACAAATCAACCCACCAGCCCCTCACCCCTTAATCTAGAATTTTGGGTTGGTTCTTTCATAATTTGAACTATAAGCTTATGGCCAAAAGTTTGTGGCTTGAAACTTACAGCATAGCCCATTCTCTTCAAAATTAGATGATCAAACTTTCCCGAAGGCAGAAAGTATTACTGCGTTCTCATATATGGTTTCTGCTTAGGAGTTGTCAAAGACTGGCTGTGCAGCCTTATACTGATTTCCTTTTTGCTCCTGAATTTGAAGTCCTGATTTTTTTCTGGTTGAAGGAGCAGAAACTTCCTATACAGTAAGCTTCTAAAACACAGTCAATGGTGCATTAAAAGGGGTAGGGAGGAACACCTTCCTCCCTCCCAACTCTAGCACAGAGCTCCCAAACACTGAGTGATTTAACTTGCTTAACGTTTTAGGAACTGTTTACTTGCATTCTATTTCATTTTACTTTCCTTTAGAAGAAGGAAATGATCTGTAATGAAAATGCTCTTTCCCTTTAGATGTACTTGAGGGATACAATGGTACAATATTTGCATATGGGCAAACATCATCTGGGAAGACACACACTATGGAAGTAAGAAATCTTAATTTTCCTCTTCCTGTCACTGTTACCTCTTTTTTTGTCACAATATTCTTTCTCAAAGATGTCTGCTTGATTTCATCTTGCATTTGTAATTTTGTTTCCCTTTCCATTGAAACATTTTGATACCCACAATAGTGGGTTTTTTTAGGACTGATAATGGCAATTATTGTACTTATTCAGCCGTAGGATAAGAAATGGACAAATAATGTTAGTAGTATATTTTCACTTTTAGTAGTTCAGGGGATTTCTGAGGCGGTTCTTTTCACCCCTGGCAAATGCTGGGGCTAAATGGGTGGTCAAATCTTTTTTTTATAGATAAAGTATTTACTTTATACCAGTCAGCATTTTAAAACTAATTTATCTGTTAGCTGTTTGTTTAGCCTTTGTATGCTGTTTGTGATGTTGGATTCAATATGAGTGTTTTATTTTTGTTGTATCCTTTTCTAATAAGGGGAAGCTTCATGACCCGGATGGAATGGGTATTATTCCAAGAATAGTGCAAGATATTTTTAATTACATTTATTCTATGGATGAGAATCTTGAGTTTCATATTAAGGTAAACTTTTCCTTGTTAATCTATATTAAAACTGGATGTAGTCTGTGGTTAAATGGATGTTCTGTATATGTTTCAAATGCCTGTAATTTGGAAATGTGATAGTATGAATTATTTCTGATGTAACTGACTTTTGTTAAAGAAGAATTATGTGAACACTTTAATTGTATTTCTGTTAAACATAGATGTTAGCTATCTTGATAACCTGTAGCAGTGCTGATAGTGTTTGAAGCTTTTAATCAGACTTTTTTTTTTTATTAGGGTGTATTAGTTCAGCCCTAAGGGCTTGAGCTAGATGTGTTGTTATGTGGGAGATCGTAGTAATCATGCTGGACCCTTGTGATTGAAAAGCAAAGCAATTTTGCTTTCTGATACTGTATCTTTATTCCCATTTCCACTTTTAGGTGTCATATTTTGAAATATACTTGGATAAAATAAGGGACCTTTTGGATGGTAAGTATTTTATCTATATTGAACATAGAAAACAAATTGTTTTGGAGAGAGATATTAAAAACAAAAAAAAACTTATCATTGGATTAAGATAGGTATGCAGTATGCTAATCCATAATAAGGGTACATCAAAATGGGAAAGCATGGAGGTAATCTATATGATACTACTAAATCTTAGTAGTGGTTATTTCATGTGTATTAATGTATACAAGAAAGTGTTGCTAAGAAATAATGTCTACGACTTGGATGTGTGTTGTGCACAGCTCATTCATTTTGCAAAGAAATCATACATACCTTAGCTTTAGAACTTTTTCTCTTCCAGTTTCAAAGACCAATCTTTCTGTTCATGAGGACAAAAATAGAGTTCCCTATGTAAAGGTGAGCATCAGTCTGTTATGCTTTCATCTTGTGCTTCTGTAGTGTACACCATTTACTTCTGGCTTGTTGGTGTGGTGATGTTTTGCCTTTGTTTGTTCTTTTTTTTTTAAAGGGTTGCACAGAGCGTTTTGTATGTAGTCCAGAAGAAGTTATGGATACTATAGATGAAGGAAAATCAAACAGACATGTAGCAGTTACAAGTAAGTATTATCTTTCATCACCTTTCATGCTTTATCAGTTTGTTTCTGGTATGCCATAAATAAAAAAAAGGCATAAAAAGGAAAGATGAGGTGCATGCAAAATAATACTTCAGTTCTTGGCAACTGAAGTGACTATCAGAAATCTCTGAGGTTGTGAAACTTCACAGTCTTCCAGTGTCTGCTTCTTTATTCAGGAAAAGAAGTAATATACAGTCTTCAGGAAAAGAAAAGATTTTTTTTTCTCATTTGTTTGGTTAAGGATCGAAAAGAAAAATATGATGTTCCTTTTAAGGAAGACTCAGTCCTGCACTTCCACTTCTTTGCTCCTGTACAGTAGTACAGTAAGGTTCTGAAGTGGGAACCAGACTAATGGAGGAAATAGCAGAAATTTGGATGGAAGGATATTATGCTATATTGAGTTGCATTTGTGGCATCAAAAAGCTGGTCCTTTTAGGCTTGTGAGGGAATTATAATTAAAAGCAAGAAGAAATAGGCAGATGTTCTCAGTCAGCTTAAATTGAATTAAAATCTTTCTTTAAATTCAATGTCTTGTTTATTCTACATGTTTCACAGCAGAAGGGATAGTGGGCATTTAAATGAGAAAGGGCTGAAAGTTTATGGCCATCTAGTTCAAGTTTGCACTTGAATAGGATAAAATATGATACAGTGTAGATCTACCAAAAACATATATGTTCCAGTATCAGAATGTGAATGTACTTTCTCTTCTAATAAAGTAAATTGTGTAAAATACATAGTTGACAGGCTAGCAAATCTTGTCAGTGTGCTTATGTGGTATTAGTAGGAGCCCAAGGGAAGCTAGGTCTTTGTTACTCAATTAGATGATACTGTTGGGTTTGCTGCCTCTAATTTTGTCATTGAGAGATTACTCTATACTGCTTCATTACCTTTAGATCTCTCTCTTCACTGTGGGAAGATACTTTTTTTTAATAATACATTTTAAAATACATTCAATAATGTATTTTAAAAATAATGTACAATTATTTTTGACAATATGTATGTTTTGGATTATAGATATGAATGAACACAGCTCCCGAAGTCATAGTATTTTTCTCATTAATGTAAAACAAGAGAATACCCAAACAGAACAGAAACTAAGTGGAAAGCTTTACCTTGTGGACTTGGCAGGTAGTGAAAAGGTAATTCTAAATTTTCTGCTCTGAAAAAACTCCAGTTATTATTTACAGTCAAATATTTTACATTAATGTAATACTGATTGTCCAGTTGTCATCCCTGACGTGTTTTAATTTTGACTTTGGAATGTGGTTTCTGAATCCTAGTCTGGGTTGGCTGTTAGATACTACCTCTTTAAGCAGCTCTGCATTTCTGCAGTGAGGGTTTGTAAATAGGGAATAGGGTGGGGAAGTAGGTTAGAGTTCAGTCATGGTATCTGTAAAAGCAAAGTGTACACGTATCTCAGCTACCCAGATACTGGAATAGAGTGAGTTTTATGGATGTGGAATACCTGAATTTTCTTGTGTAATGGTACCAAGTTTCTTAATTTGAAATTCTGAATAAAGTTTAAAATGGCAGCTTGTTTTCTCTGTCAGTGACCTAAAGCAAAGAAGGAAAGATGTACCGTTTTGCTTATTCTTGTATCACGTATATACTGCAGTTAGCCTTTTTAAGAGGTGGATTTTTGACGTTCTTTTTCATCTGCTTCTGGGTTTATCCCTCTTTTTGTCTCCAGTTTTTTTTCAGTCCTTTCTGCTTGCTGTTGTCTTTCTTTGCGTCATTGCTCTCTGGCCTACTGTTGTCTCTGTTCCTGTGTTTTTTCTGAAATGTGTTTCTTAGTAATGGTCTTTTTTTCTTCTTTAATGAGTATGAAACTAGAAGTATTAAAGTCAGAAAAAAGTTAAAAGTAAAGGGCTGGGTTGCAGGTCTCCTTTCTCTGTAGTTTTTTTTCCTTTCACTCTTTATTTCAAACATAGCTTCTGTGTTTCCGTAGTTAGGTTTTGGTTTTGTTTGGTTGGTTGGTTTTTTGGTGTGGGTTTGTTTTTTTTTTTGTTGTTGTTGTTGTTTGTTTGGGGTTTTTGTTGGTTTTTTTTTTTTTTTAATACATGAAGTTTTCTGATGCCTTGTTTTGGGTTGATTTAAGCATAGGCAAATAAGATTGCTTAGCTGTAGTCATGAGCTCAGCTTGAGGAGAACAGTAAAGAGAGAGTTTATAAGTCAAATTTAGCCCTTGAGGCAGAAGAGCTAAGGTAAATAGAATGTTGTCAGGGTAGATTTTTGTCACTTTCCTGCTGATATCTAAGTACATTTCTAGAGCATTCTTGTAGGTTAGATTCAGCCTCTTAATTGTTCTCACAAATTCTTGCTAATAAAGACTCTGGTATATTTTTCTGAGCAGGTGGTGTGTCTTTTGGGTTTTGAAATGGGGGTTTGAGACTACCTCAAAGTCAGGGAGACTGACTTGATTACTTAAGACTTACATTGAGTGTGGAAGGTGTCTTTTGAAGATGTATTTAGTAATTTACTGCAATATGGTGTAGGTTAGTAAAACTGGAGCAGAAGGTGCTGTGCTGGATGAGGCCAAGAACATCAACAAGTCATTGTCTGCTCTTGGAAATGTCATCTCAGCTTTGGCTGAAAGCAGTGTAAGTATTCTCTTTTGTATTTTTATACAAGGTTAAAGGCTTGCATCTCTGAACATGATATTGCGCAGGAACACTGTACTGATCTCAGAGATATGCATGGAATCTTTGAAAGTAATCCATTTGCATCAACACATTGTAAATGGCCATTACTCTTGTACTGATGATCAGTAAAGTTACATTTAATGTTGAGTGACCTAAGCATCATACTGAAAGTTTTCTTGTGTTTTAAAAGCTACCAGACATAGAAGTACAATTTTATTTCATCCCATGTGTGTTCCTTCTTATGATTTATAAACTAAAGTAGAATTTAATGTCTTTCAAATGAGGTTAAACCTAACAAAAGCTTAGTTCTTACTTCAGGAAATTGAATGTGTCTGAAAAAATGTGACTGATTCATGTAACCATTTTCTTGGTAGACTTATGTTCCATATCGTGATAGCAAAATGACCAGAATCCTTCAAGATTCACTAGGGGGTAATTGCAGAACCACTATTGTTATTTGCTGCTCTCCATCATCATACAATGAATCTGAAACTAAATCTACTCTTCTGTTTGGCCAAAGGTGAGTAAATGACTTAGTATTTTATACTTACTATGCTCAGAAATAAATGCAGAATGAGAAATAAGTTACAGTGTTAAGATTCTCAAACCAAATTAGAGTGTTTACTTTCTGTAATTCTTCAGTGTGTGTGTGGTGAAATGTTTTGATCTGTCTTATACTGTATAAAAAATTCTATTACATCATGTGGTCTGTTTCCTGTATCTAGCATTCCAGTACCATTTAAGTTAATACTTCTACATTCCTGTGTCATTCTTAATTGAATTTATAAGTACCCATTTAGAATTTGGTGTTTCGTTAGGTATCTCTTCTTTGCCACTCTATTATTAGTGCTTCATCATTATACTCCAGTTCCTGACCACTAGGATTTAACCGCTTAATTTACTGGAACACATTACAGAAGCTGTCAGCATTTTACTTGGTTCATCTGGTTATAGACGTTAGTATACCTAAATAACGAACTATTAGTGTAACTAATGAAGTGGAAGCACTTTAGTTCAACAAGGTAGTTTTTTTTACTGGTCCTTCCAGATAAGTTGTTTATTATGGAAAGTAGACTAGGTGACTTCAGAAGTTCTTAAAAACCTGGCAGAATATGGGTAATTAGTGGGTGTGGCATAACAACTGCATTGTGCAACAGTGGAGGTTTATTGGTCTCCTTTTAAAGTCTAGGTCTTTTCCTTTCCTTTAAGTATTTCTTGAATGAGCTATTGAAAAATGTCTTCCAGCTGTAGCTCTGTAGTTTCACCGCCTCATGCTCTTGACTTCTTCAGGAGTTAAAAGAGTACTCTTCTATCTCAGGCACTGTAATTAGTCTACTATATTAATGCAACCTTCTAGGGATGTTAAATTTATATTGAAACCCCCAGCTTGTAGTAACTGAAGCCTATGTAAATTTCACACAACTCAGCAGAAAATCATGTGCCTTTTGGTAGTCATCAAGCCCAGTGAGGCTTTGCAGAAAGGTGCCTATAGGAGTCATAATGGGGGGAGGGGGTGGGGTGTGTGTCAGGATTTCAGACTATCATTAAGCTTTTTACCCATTCTAATCTTTCATGTGGGGTATTTGTTAGCAGGAGACTGTACAGAAAAATTACTGAGGTAAGTGAGGTATGGCACTAAAGTAAGACCTGTATGTTAACTTCATGAATACATGTTCCTAATGTCTGTAGTTTCATCTCCAAACCTAATGTCTTTGAATGAGATCCACCTGACTGAACGCAGATAATCACATCTGAACTTTCTAGCTTGTGACACCTTTTTGGTTAATGGAGATCTAGCAACTTCATGGATTTTTAGGTTAAAATGAGCAGTTGTATCAATCCAACTGAAAGAATAATAAGTTGACAGGGAGTAGAAGTAAGCTTTTCGGAAGAGGTGGGAACGTTTACACTTCACCAGTGCTCTCTAGAAACTTTATTAAATAGATTTTACTTCCTTTTTTTGAAAATGAAGTTTCAGATCTTTTTGCTTTTTCTGTGCAGAGCAAAGACCATTAAGAACACAGTCTGTGTCAACGTGGAGCTCACTGCGGAACAGTGGAAGAAAAAGTATGAGAAGGAAAAAGAGAAAAACAAGACTCTGCGTAACACCATACAGTGGCTAGAAAATGAACTCAACAGATGGCGGAATGGTAAGAAGCAATTCAACTTTTCTTCTGACAACTTTAAGCAAGACTACAGGCGCTGAATTAGTCTTCCGGGTACTAAAAGTAAAAGGACTATGCAAGATAGTAAGAACATTAAAGTCAGGATATTAAGTTGACATTGGAACTTCATATTTTTCACTACATTGCAACTGGAACAACTTTGGATAATCACTTAATGGCACAAATGTTTGCAAGTATATTGGTGTTAGGTTGATCAACACTTGGTTTTCTAGCAGAGCTAGAGTTACATTCTAAAAAAATTTATTTTGGGGGAGAAAGAATGATACTAATTGCAAATGCATAAAATATTTCCTCTGGTTCAGTTTTCTAATTCAAATTAATATCATAAGATCTTGTCCTGGTTTAAAACTCAGACATGTTAGTGAGGAAAAAACTCACCCAAACCCCCAAAAGTGCTGACAGCACAAAACATGTGCCTGTTCTTTCTTCCTGAATAATTAACTTCTTATCTATTCAAGTGTCGGAGAAAATGCAAGAAGCCTTAAATTCAGGGAAGGTGGAATGTAGGTCATTTTTACAGATGTATTCTGGAGTTTAGCAGCTGTAGAAAATGATCTTGCAATCTTGTAGACAACTGCACATATCCTGATGTAAGGCTGAGGAAAAATGGGCTTACTTAAGTAAGTTTAATAGATGTGGGGTTCTGTTTTATTTGTTTCTTCCTGTCTGTTTGGTTCGGTTTATGTTGGGGTTTTGTGTGGTTTTGGTTTTCTCTTTCTTTTGGTTGGTTTGGTGTTGTTTTTTTTTTTTCTGTTAGTTATTAAAAGTCTGATGGAGATGGTATGAGGCCACACCTGAAATGTTCAGTATGTTGTGTCAGCGCTCTAGAAGAACTACACTTGAGTGTTGGAAAGAGCTCAAGAGGAGTGCATAAAATATTTTGTAATAAGGCGATAAAGAATTTCGTTTTGTTTACCAGAGAAGTGCCCTGATAATTGTGTGGTATTTTTTCTGTGTGAAGTTAGTAAAGTGTTCTCATCAGAAAAGGCTTAACGAACATAAAAGGATAAAAGTGTAACTGAAAAGAAAATATTTTAAATTAGAAGCAAAGCAGTTTAAAAGTAAGCATGGTTACCTAGCAAAATAAACTACCAAGGGAAAAGGATTTTCTGTCTTCAGGGCAAGTTAGGTGCCTTTCTAGAAGATAGAGTTTGAGATTTAGAACTCATAGCAGAGTAACTGTGTGAAATATAATGTTCTATGGTAAGCAGGAAATCATTTGAATGATCTAGTGGTAGGTTTTTTTATCATCTAATCACATGAGGTCAACTGCATGTTAAAAGTGGAGCAGTACTATTAGTAGGAACTATGTAATACTTCTCAAGGCTAATGTCGTGGAAGATGCCGCATGGCTGATCATACTAAAACTGAGTATATTCGTTTCTTTAAGGGGAAACTGTACCAGTTGATGAACAGTTTGACAAGGAGAAGGCTAACTTGGAAGCTTTTGCAGTGGACAAGGATATTACTGTTGTTAATGATAAGCCAGCTACCACAATTGGAGTAACTGGCAATTTCACTGATGCTGAGAGAAGAAAATGTGAGGAAGAAATTGCCAAACTATACAAACAACTGGATGACAAGGTATGCCATTCTTATTTAATGTAACACCTCTTGGAAATACATCTTGAACTATGTTATGTAATGCTTAATTTGACAGTCTTCGTTTGTTAGTACAGCTTACTTAGGTATTTGGGAGTGCCTGCTCCAATTCTGAAGCTCTGATTAAGAGAAATCAAAGTTGTCTTATCTGGTGATACTAAAATAATGTCCTGAAAACTAATGTATCAGTACATTGGACAAAAAAAGGTAAAAATGAAAGTTAGGAAGGAAAAGTTAATGAGAATCTGAATGCTATTTCTAGTTTCTGGGTGTAGAACATTCTTGACTTTTGGAACAATACTGTACCAGAAAGGAAAATAATGAGAAAACAGGGATATATGTAATTTGAAAACAGCAGGTTTTTTCCTTCCATGTTACACCTTTTATTTGAACATAATTTTAAATTTAAGCAATGGTACTAAATTTGGAAACAAATCTTTTAGTTAGATCTTCACTCTTTCTTGGAAGTTAGAACAACTTGGAGAAAACTTGCAAAAGCACAGGTATAAGAGTTTTGTCTTCGAAGAGTTTTTGTTGAGACGTGCTAGGTTAAGAGCCTAATGGATTAGCCAGTGAAATCAAATGGTTTACTTTTATTCCTTTCAATTGTGTAATTGTCTCAGAATATGGAAAAGTTAGATGTCTAACATCTACTGTCTCTTGGATTATTTTTCCTGAGTGGTATTTGTTAGTTTATCGAACACAGTCTTACTTGAACTGCAGGATGAAGAAATTAATCAGCAGAGTCAGCTAGTAGAAAAACTGAAAACACAAATGTTGGATCAGGAAGAGGTAAGTTTCACTCCTGCATCTTTATTTGTCTTTCCTTTAAATAAATTTGAGATGTCATGAATAGGTCACAGTTCGTAACCAGGGAGTAGGATGATGGCTCACTACTGTACAATGAAGCCTGAAGGAATTTTAACTGTTTTATGCAAAGATACCAGCAGTTGTTATTCCCCATGCAAAGTTAGTAGTTTGTCAAAACTGAATATACCTTGATTTACTAAAGAAATCCATTTCAGGTTTTACTTTTGGTCAGTTGCTGTACAGAGAGAAAGGAAACGTAATGGCCTATAAAGAAAAACAAAGCATCGGTGTGTTACTTTAGACCATACTTGCTAGAATATTCAAGTGATTTGTCTGCATATGTTGTCAGTGATGTAACTTAATTAAATGGGGAAAATACCTATTAATAATGAAACTTAATTTCCTTTAGCCAAGATACTAGAAAAAAATAATTCTGTCTAGCACAAACATTAGAAAATTATGATTTTTTTTTTTATTTCTTTTTTTTCATGGCAAGAAGAAAATGGGTGGAGGACTTGGGAAGTTGGACTTACAGTTTAATCTTATTTAAGTAAATTAATCTGCCTCTTTACCAGCTGTTCCCTTTGTCCAGATATTCTGGAGCATCTAATAGTTAAAATGCTGAAAGTTGAGTCCCTAGCCTGTTGACAATTTCAGCCTCATGAAGTAGTGTGGTTTTTTTGAGAACTTGCAATATTCCATGTGCATTTCCAGTTGCTGTCCATATGTGTCTTGATTTTTAATCATTTCCATTTTGAAAATACTTAATATAGATGTTAAATTTGTTTGTGATACTTACTTTACCTGTCCTTTGCATCCTTACTGCATAATGCTAGACACTAAAAATGTAGATATAAGCTATTGTAGTAGCTACAAGCATAAGATTCAAGTTATACAAAGGCTTTTCCTTATGATTATTTGTTGTTGTAATTTTAAATAAATCTGTCTCACTGTTGCAGCTGCTAGCATCCACCAGACGGGACCAAGACAACCTGCAAGCAGAGTTGAATCGCCTTCAGGCTGAAAATGATGCCTCTAAAGAGGAAGTGAAAGAGGTCTTACAAGCCCTTGAAGAATTAGCTGTCAATTATGATCAGAAGTCTCAGGAAGTAGAAGATAAGGCAAAGGAATACGAGCTGCTTAGTGATGAACTCAATCAAAAATCGGTATGAAATTGGCATAATAAATTACTGAAAGTCTCCAGTGTAGCTTTTCTTGGCTCACCTGTATTTCTTGCTTGAAGTCATTTAAAATTTTTTCACAAGGGAAAATGGGAGCTGAAGTCTAAAACTCCTTTATTTTTAGTGAAGGATGTTTTTCAAAACCAGTAAGCTTCAGAAGAATGCACAGTGAATGTTGACCTTGATAGCTCTCATCTTTTTAGCACCTGTAGCATTTTACTACCTGAAGGGTATTCAGAAAAATCCAAGGTATCAGAAGTTAACTCTCCCATTTACATGCAGGTGATCTGACTCCATTTTTTTGTCTTTCTGGTGCAGGTGGGGTAATCCTCACTTAAGAATCTGCTCCTTCCAATCTTGAAATTGCAGTGAACACGATACAGCTTTTCTTGAAAGGAATATGTATTTGCATGCTGCATTTATGGCACCTAAAATACCTTAATCTTGATGCCTTCAAAAATAGGCTGTTTATTGTACCCTCTGAAAGGAGTAGTCCTGAACATTGAGGACCTATTTGAAAAGATTGCTCTGGTTAAAATACAGATGCAGCACCAGTCACACAGCATGAATAGTATATGCTTCCTTACATACCTGCATAGGTTCTGAATTGACTGACAGTTTTGGTGGCCAGTTATTTCGGAGACCTCAGTCAGTTTTAAACAGTTAATACTCTACCCATGATTCTAAAATTCTAAGTACTGGAAAGTATCAGCATAGTTGTTGGTATTGCAGACAGAATATGCGGTGGTGGAAGCCTCTTGAGCTCTGTTATTGAAGATGAAAATTGATTTGGTCTTGGTCTCCCTAGTGAGTGTCTTTCAGTTTTCAGTAAGTTTTGACTAGACAGCACACTGGCATTAAAGTGATGTTCATGAGATCATGAAACTTCTCTTTAAACTTCTAAGTATTTTAGCTGTGTAATCTTCACTGGTAACTGACATCACTTGAAGGCTGGCTGAAAGTCAGACTGTCTCTGGTCTTACTACGAGCAGCATTTAAAACTTGGTGGAGTAGGCTAGCTGTATGTGTGTATCATTCTGAAGTGTGGTTTGTTTTTTCTTGGTGGTGGTTGTTTGTATGGTTGTTTTTAATTAGTTTAGAGATAGTCAAGTGATTATAGATACTACAGCTAATGTCCACTGAGTGTCGTGAATAACTCAATCCCCAAGAAAGCAACAACTGTTCTGAGATGTAGTAAAATTAGACATTTTAGTGTTCTCAGCCTGACACAGCTAAACCATGCAGCAATCATCCTTTGGTGTCATCAGTCGCTGAAACTTTTCTGCTGTAAAATTTCTGGCATAATTTTAAAACTAGAGAACAAATACCAGACAACTTTGTGAGTATGCAAACTGCTCAGCTGCAGCCGTTAGAACCACAGCAGGTCAAATGAGCTGAAAAATTGCTCTAGAGTAAGTGTAGTAATTATGAATTCTTGGAACTGGATGCCTTTTTCTGATTTGAAAGTAGGAGAGAATTAAAAGCTCTGCAAGAAAAGCTGATCTGATTCTTCTTTACCAAAATACAGTGAAGAGTGTTGGACTTACTGTCCAGATACCTTTTGCCTAAAAAATGCAATTCTTCAGTATTTAGCTGTATATAACTCTGCTGTTTAAACAATGTTGACATGAATTTTGTTGCAGAGCTGTAAGATTATATTTTTGTTAGCTGAAGGCCTCTGTCTCCAGCATTTAGCAGTATTTATTCTGAACGAAATGTAACTCCAAGACTTCTAAATTGTTACTGTATAGAATATTCACATACATTGATACCATCCTGGGTTTAGGCATGAAAATGGGATATTTCAGTAGGCAACCATATGTTGCTATATTGAATTAGTATGAAGCTAGTTCTAAAAACAAGAGCATATTTTGTTTATTGAAGTGTAATTTCTTTCTTTCTATAGGTTACTCTGGCCAGTATAGATGCAGAGCTTCAGAAACTTAAAGAAATGACCAACCATCAGAAGAAACGAGCTACAGAAATGATGGCTTCCTTACTGAAAGATCTTGCAGAGATAGGAATTGCAGTAGGAAATAATGATGTGAAGGTAAGGATTAGTCAAGTGTAGTTTTTAATGCCATATATTGCACACATACATTGTGGATATGTGGGGTCAGGTTTTTTAGTGTGGTAAAAACCAACATAGGAAGCCTCATGTATGTTGATGATTTGAACATAAGCTTATCTATTGCTTATGCTGTGACTTAATTCACGTATCAAGCAGACAAGATGAGCAGGTATGATTTTTTTTCTGAAGTAGCAGTTTCATTCATATTGTTAAATTGCTGCATGAAGTGGTCATAATCAACAGCATCATCTTGGAAATCTAATCCTGAGCTACAGTAGCAGAATGGGAAACTGAAATAAAAGTTACATCTAGAAAATCACTGTAGGACAAGAATGTAAGCAGTGTTAGAAAGCTGTAGGAAACCGTATTTCCCTCTTTACATGACACATTACCTTTATGCAAACTTCTCAGTAATCAATCTGAAAATTACGTTTTTGTGTTTAAATGCTCTGTCAGTCAAGGTGGGGGATGTGTATTGGGCACAGAGTTGCTTCAGCTCACCTTTGTTTTCATCATCTGATCTCTCTAAATGTATCATTCCACACTTTTCAGCAGCCTGAGGGAACTGGCATGATAGATGAAGAATTCACGGTTGCGAGACTGTACATTAGCAAAATGAAATCAGAAGTAAAAACAATGGTAAAACGTTGCAAGCAGTTAGAAGGCACACAGACTGAAAGCAATAAGAAAATGGAAGAAAACGAAAAGGAGTTAGCTGCGTGTCAGCTCCGTATCTCACAGGTAAATTGTTTCTTTACAAGAGACTTTCTGAATGTCCTTAGGAATTCATTAAGCTGCTGGGGAAAAGAATAAAGTTGCAATTTCTTTTTGACACCTAACAAAGTATATTGTGATCAGCCATAGATTCAGCTGTATCCTGAATACTCTTTTTAATTTGAATGCTTCTGAGTAATTGTGTGACAGGAGGTCAGAATTTCTGCAGTATGCCTGTAGCCTGATAATACTTTTGTAGCACTTGTATTAAATATTAGGGTCCACATGTTCTCCGTCACAGGTTTCTTTACAAACACAAGCCTTACAGAAGCAGTGGCTAGTGAGCACTCTGCCTAATAAAGCAAGTTGGAAGTGGGAGAGAGAGCAACAGCACAGTAAAATCACAGTAGTCTTGCACAGCACATTAAATTTACTTCTAATGCGAGAAAGGCCATTTTAATGTAATTGTTAGAAAAAAAATCAGTAATGTGACTTATAACACCCCTGAAAATTGTGAGCTATGTGTGCAATTTAATTTTTCTGTTTTGTTTTACATACAGATGGTCATCTCATTTTTTTAAATGAGGAGATGCATATTTCAGTGCCCTCTCCTAAATAGAGTGAGCCTCTCTTTAGCATTTAAAACAGTCAAAAATGTTTTTCATTCCTGTCCAGAATAAAGACATTGTCTTACAGGCTTCATTACAGATGTACTTGAGTAGTCATATACTTAAAGTTTAGTTGGTACCATTTTTATTTTGAGATCAAGTTACTTGTTTAAAAATAAGTAAGAACTGTTCATGCAGATGTAATTCTGTGATACCTACTTCCAAAGTAAATGAACGTTTCTGTTCTCCAGCATGAAGCCAAGATCAAGTCTTTGACTGAGTATCTTCAGAATGTGGAACAGAAAAAGAGGCAACTGGAAGAGTCTGTGGATTCCCTTAGCGAAGAATTAGTTCAGCTCCGAGCACAGGGTAGGGATTACCTCCTTACAGCCCACCCACCACCATCTTAAAGTATATAGTGATAAATAGACAATTGTTATGTTTAGATTGAAGGGAATCACTACAAAATGGTTTTTTGCTACTGAACATGCAGAATTAATCAACAGGAAAATGCTGTTGGAAAGAAGTGCTGTGGATAAGGTTAAATTAAAGATGGTATTGATTTAATTGATGTTTGTGGTGGGAGGGGACTTTTTCCCAATTTTAAGGCATTGGGAAGGGAGAATTAACTCCATCTTCCCTGTGATAGCCTAGTTACCTCTTTTCTCTCCTCTATCCCTACTAGAAAAAGTCCATGAGATGGAGAAAGAGCACTTAAATAAGGTTCAAACTGCAAATGAAGTCAAAGTAAGTTAATTTCATTGGGTTTTTAGGGTGGTTGCTTTTTTTTTTAGTTCTAAGTGTGGTAACTTTTTAAAACATAACACATACTGTTTTTTTTTCTAACAGCAAGCTGTAGAACAGCAAATTCAAAGCCATCGTGAGACGCATCAGAAACAAATCAGTAGCCTAAGAGATGAAGTTGATGCAAAGGAGAAACTTATCACTGAACTTCAAGAGTAAGTAATTTTATTTTAGTAGTGCTACATGTCTCTGGACTCAGTATAGAAGCACAGTGTAGTGGGAAGGAGTGTGGAAGGCACACTCCTCCAAACAGTCTCTTTCTAACTTGTGTTGCTTTAGTGAATGTGTTATCTGACAGATTCAGCTGATATATATATATATATATTATATATATATATATATATATATATACACACATAACATAATTTACTTTCTGTGTTCAGCCAAAACCAGAAGATGATGCTTGAACAGGAGCGTCTTAGAGTTGAGCATGAGAAGTTGAAAGCAACTGATCAGGAGAAAAGTAGAAAGCTGCATGAGCTTACGTAAGTGAAAATGGTGCATAAAACAAGTGTGTGTGGAAACACTGACATTTTAAAAACTAGTGACCTTATAGGATGAAGTGGCTCTCACTGTGTGGTATACATATTAAAAAGAGAACCTTTGCACTGCCTTCATATTTAAAATTGGAAGTAAAATTATGAGGTCTGGAAAGTTGATAGAATGCTGAGATATTCTTTAGAATATTACCTTAAATATTTAATGATTTAGCTGTGAACTAATAGTGGAACTGGCCAAGTGAGGAGAAATTTCAAGAGGAAAAGAAGGGTTTTCGCTACTTAGCAGGAATGCTTCATTTTCATGCAGTGCCTGGCCCTCCTATTCCAACCTTGAGTCATAAAAAGTCCACATTCTTTTTATGTATCCTGTCATTGAGTAATTGCACTGCCTTATAATTCTGAGAGAGAACATTAGCAGTGCAGTAAATGCTTTCACAGTAGGAAGACAGAAGCTCTGTGAAGTGATCATTATTAGGTTATATTCCTGTAAACTGAGATTGTTTTTCATGTTGCTAGCTTTGACAGCTGTGTTGGGGTGAGGTGGTAGAACAAAACAAAGAAAAGGTTCATAATCTGTCACGGGGTGCTTGTCATCTCAGCTGGTCAGAGCTAAGAACATGTATGGGGCAAGTCCTCCCCTCGTATTCACCTCAGACCTGCATCTGAGAGTCTTTCTTTACCTACTCTAGAAAATTAAAATTTATGCATCTGGAGGTACTTGTTTGTATTCCTTATAAGTACTTCCCTCTTTTTATCCTGCAACTCCCTGACTTCTGCTCCAACTCCGCATGGACTTCTGAGGGTCATACCATCTATTGGATACATCTTTGACCGAGGACTTCAACTGAAAGATATTTTTCGTTTGTACCATATAGTGTTCATCACTCTAGTCTCCTAAAACATTACAATCTTCCAGTTTTGCTCAAATGTTTCAGGATGAATTTATTCTCTTTTAGAGTTATGCAGGACAGACGGGAACAAGCAAGGCAAGACTTAAAGGGTTTGGAAGAGACTGTGGTAAGATAGAATATATTCCAAAAGAATATTTGTTTGGGTTGTTTTTGGGGGGGGGTGGTGTTTGTTTTTGTTTTGTGAGGGGGGGTTGTTTGTTTTTTTTCTTCAAAGTTTTTTTGGGCAGGGGGGGTTGTTCGTTTGGTGTTTTGGGTTGGTTTTTGGTTGTTTTTTTTTTTTTTCTTCAATCCTTGTTTGTTTGGGGTTTTTTTAATTTCTTGTCCTTAACTGTAGGCAAAAGAGCTTCAGACTCTTCACAATCTCCGGAAGCTGTTTGTTCAAGATCTGGCTACTAGAGTGAAAAAGGTAATGTGGTGCTGTAGTGAAACTTGGTGTTTCTGAGAATGCTACATGAATTTTGGTGTGGAACTAAATTGAAATTGATATTTATGAAGTGTAATTTTTCTGGCTTGATCTTAATATGGAAGTTCAGATTTGTACTCAGCCTTCTCTCTCCCTCCCCATGCCTTTGTTACTGCAGAGTGCTGAGATTGACTCAGATGATACAGGAGGCAGTGCTGCACAAAAGCAGAAGATCTCCTTCCTTGAGAATAATCTTGAACAGCTTACAAAGGTTCACAAGCAGGTACAATGAAGCTTGATTTAAATTTTAGTAAAAAACGAGCTACTTAAGGTGCTTTATTATAAGTGACTAAATGCATATTGGTCATAAATTAACATTTATAATTAAATACTTCTATATCTTGAGTATGTCTCTTGATAAAAAACAATAGGCTTAAGGTTTTCCTGTAAAGTAAGTTAGCAGCTAAAAGTACATGTGGATATGTAACAAAATAGCTGCTTTTAAACTGAAGAAAATCCAAGTTAGCGTTTAGAGCTAGTGTCAGTCTTGGGGATGTCTGACTGAAGAGTGTAGACATTTATTGCCTACGTTGGCTAGCATATTCTTCCACAATAACTGCTTTTAAAATAACAAACTTACTGGTGATCTATTAGATTTACTAAAAGCTTAGGCAAAAAAAACTGCAGTAGCACTACTGCTTTGCCTGATTAAGCGTTGAAGGGTGTTTTGTTGAAGAGAGATACCGAGAAAATAATTCTGGTTTTGTAGCTGGTACGTGACAATGCAGACCTTCGCTGTGAACTTCCTAAACTGGAGAAGCGACTTAGAGCTACAGCTGAAAGAGTTAAAGCTTTGGAGTCTGCACTAAAGGAAGCCAAAGAGAATGCTTCTCGTGATCGTAAACGGTATCAGCAAGAAGTAGATCGTATAAAGGAAGCTGTAAGATCCAAGAACATGGCCAGAAGAGGACATTCTGCGCAAATTGGTTAGTAAAGAATCTCATGCCCCTAAAGTTTCATCTGTGTCCTTATTTTTTTTTCTTCATCTTTGTGCATGTGTGCATCTTTCAGTCTTAGTTGGACCTGCATGCATGAACATATCTGTCTTCTGTCATAGAATCAAAGAATAGCTAGGGTTGGAAAGGATCTTAAGATGATCTTGTTCCAAACCCCCTGCCATGGGCAGGGACACCTCTGTGGGTCTCCAAAGAGCTGTTGCTTAATAAAGCTGTAACGCTTTTCTTCTTGGTCACTTCAAGTGGTGATTCAAAGACAACTATTTTCCTGTCTTACGTTTTCGCAAGTGATCTCTAAGAAGACAAACAGAACTCTCTAGGGAGCTTACCACAGGTATAAAGCCTTTTGTACTTAAATATCTAGATGAACTAGTTATGTCTTATTGGAGATCAGCTTCCTATTAAGGCAGAATTTGAGAAGTGTTTCTTTGATACAGTTTCTACCTGTAGGTACTTTGTATCCCCTCTTAACCTGCTGAAACTTTAAATGCTTCTAATACTACAGAGCTTGTAAAGTCATGCCGTTGTGCATGTCCTGTTAAAGACTAGTGCAAAATGGATTGAAAATACAGTTTGTTTATCAAAGTATATTGCAGCTTGTGAATTACCTGTCAAAGCTACTGTTCTATTTAATTCTGTAATAGAGCAGGTTTTATTTTTATATGGTTGCAAGAAGTTGATGAAGCAGTGTTTTCTGTGGAATAATCTATATGCAGAACTACTTACAGAGCAGAGTAACTAGTGGCTTATTGATCAACTAGATCTGGGAAATACTGCAGGATATTCCTTCATGATGCTAGAGGAATATAAGCCTCATAAAATTTTGTTTAGCAATTAAGTTCCTACTTCCAAGAAACAGGACTCTCACGGTGAAATATATTAGGTGGGGTAGATAATACATGTGAAAATAGTGGTTATCTAAAGCTTTCCTAGCTTTAATTCTGGTAGGGACAATAAAACAAAAATGTTGTCCATTCTTCGGGGCTTGTTATAGTTGACACTGATCTTTTACATTCCCAGAATGCCATCTCCTAAACTTGTTTTATTGAAAATGCATTCATCTTTTATTATTGCATTTGGGATACTGTAAAATAAAGTATTAGTGAATTTGAATAATCAAAGGTAAAATTGTTATGTTATGTATTTGTAAGTCATATTTCTTTTCATGCAGCTAAGCCTATCCGTCCTGGCCAGCATCCAGCAGCTTCTCCAACTCATCCAAGTGCAATTCGTGGTGGAGGTGCATTCACTCAGAACAGCCAGCCAGTTGCACTGCGTGGAGGTGGAGGACGGCAAGACAAAGTGTAAGTTTGTCTTGTAGGGCAACTTTTAAATGTGTGATTAAACCATTTTGGTTTTATTACAGTTCATTCTGTGGCATAGAATTACTTGAATGATCAGATTAACTTTTCAAACTGAATTTTATAGTTACAGGAACAGTGTACATGTACATGTGACTTACACTGCTGCTTTTGTTATAAAACTGGTGTGTGTTGTGAAATGGTAGTTCTGGAGTTGTTCTGCTGGAGTAGAACAAAATGTGAAAACAGTCAATTGGACGTAGTTACCAGTCACGGCCATTAGTTACTGATTGGGAAAGGAGTAGGCATTTTAAATTCTTCTGGCTGGCTAGTATCTTTTTACTACGGTTTTCTTCAGAAAGCGTTCAGAAATTAAGTTCAAAAATTACCCTATTCTTAAATGTTCAGTAATTTGGAAGTATTTTATAGCATCTGAATCTCTGGTTAGAGAAGAACTTTTGGTACAATATGGAACATGAAATACTGTTCTGCGTATGGAGACTACCATTTAATGAGTTATTCTGGAAAGATTAAAGAAATACAGATACGATAAATTGTTATCACCCTGTGCAAATCAAAGTTTTCTAGGATAGTGAATGCCATTCCCATTTCATCTGCCCAAAATAGCAAAGTTAAAACTTGGCAGCAGCTGGTAGGTAGCATCCAGACAGCTCTCACTGGCCTGGAAAAGTAGCAACACTCATGGGAAGTGGATCTGGGTTATAATTGTGTTGTGTTTGTAATGTTTACTCCCATAAAGGCAATCAAGATTGGATACCCAGTCAGTTTATTGTGCTGTAAAATTTCTTGCTAACAGACAGCATTGCTTAAATGCTTTGAATTGTGTAATTTCTTATTCTGAAGTAGATGTTTTATTAGCACTTAGATAAGTGGTCTAAGAACTGGGCTCTTAAAGGCTATGTAAATAGTGAATACGGTCTACTGTAAATGTAAATAACTTGGCTTTTTGGTTTACGAGGTACAAGCACTTAACTGTATTATTTTTCTCATTTACAGTTGCTGAAAAGTAAATGCAGTGTGAGGAGGATATGATACCATGTAGAGGGAGTCATTCCATGACAATAATCTTTCCCTTTGGGGACTGTAGGATTATTTTTTTGAAAATGTATAAATTATACCTGGCCTGTACAGCTCTTCCCCCTTCTGCAAATTCTGCGATCTGATTTCCCCCCGAAAAAACCAACCTAGAGTGCAATTTTGGCGTCTTGAAAAATGACGTGTTACTTAAAGTGTAGCTCTGCTCATTACACAGTTTGTCTTTCATGTCTTAAATTTAGTCTGCACTGTGCCAAGCTGAATGTATGTTAAGAAAATCTTAGTTTGAGTTTTCTAGCTTAATTTGTGTTCATCTTACTGTCTTAGGGAATGTGCAACAGTGTTTAAGTATACTTTCATTTTTATCACTTCTTCACATAACACTACATGTCCCGCTGAATTAAAACGGCACTCTACATTACAGTTTTCTCTTGGACTGCTACATAGAGCATTGGAACTAAATCTGTACAGTTTAAGAATACTGAAGTGTGCTTACAACAACTGCCATAAGGCATTGTGATGGCTACACCACAGAACTATAGAGTTCAATATGAACTAGGCTGTTTAACTGTTATCTCATTAAATGCCCGTTTATTGGGTTATTTAGAATTAAATATTGTACAGTAAGAAGGGTAAACCTAAGTTTACTATAAAGACTTTGGCAGTGGATTATCCCAGCTGTCCTGTTCCTGATTTTTGCACACAGTACAGTCTTGTGGGGTGAAAACATTCTGCTTCATTCTGATGAGCCTGTCTGTCCATTTATCTGTATCTGTTATGGTTCCCTTTTGCTGCTTTACGATAGCGAAATGAGCACCATCTAAAATCTAACTTGATATTCCACTACATACACTGTACTGGAATTTTTGACTAAAATTTTAACTTTCAATTGAAACTATTTTTTTTCAGCAACTGGCCGATGAATTCAGATCCACTAACAAAGGATACAACTTTTTAAAACTGATGTATCTGGAAATCCCAGGCACATGTGTTTAAAAAAGATAATAAATAAAGTGCTACCCTGAATTGTTTTGTAATCCATTTGTAAGTAGGTATATGAAATGTCCAAAGTAGTAGTTGTTGAATATTTTTCTTCTCTTCGCAATAAAGTCCTGTAAAGTGGCTAACAACAGGAAGCATGGTTGGTTTTTTGTTTTGAGCTCCAGTACTCCCACTGAGCTGAACTGGGGGGTTAAAATTTTATAATTTGCGTAACTTATTGATAGGGTTTAGCCACTACTATGTTTAGAACAGCTGCCTTCCGGTAGAAATTAGTTGCCAGGTCTTTGAGAAAGAAGGAACTTGGTGTTACTGAAAGCTTTTGATGAGCTTTTCAGAACCAGTCGATACCACTTGGTGTTCTGGCTTAAATTCTTTGCTGGGAATTCACCAGTTATTGTGGGAACAGTAGAGACTGACTGTTCAGGCAGCAAATCACTTTCAACTTTTATATTACAGACAGACAAAATATTTATATTACGATGGAGTGTAGTCAGATTTTAGATCTTGAACCACTTTTTTCTATGTCTACAGTAGTCCGAATTTTTAATAGTTTGATTTTTAAAGGTTGAGTGTGTCAGTCGGAAATCTCACTATTTTGGAATTTTCAGCTTTTAAGACTGTTTTGTTCATTAAGGCTGCCAAGCACTCCAAACTTGCAGTGGTTTTAGAGCACAATTAAAGACAGCATACTAAGGAGGAAAAAAAAAAAGGAATAGCAACTATTTTGAATTAAATGACTCATAATGGAAACAGCACTGTACGTTATCTTCCTCAGTATTAACTACAGGTTTTCAGGCCTTTGTTTGTTAATATGCAATCATAAAAACAAAAAACCCCACTTTCTTTAACATACATTCAGATGAAGCAAGATTTTTTTTTTTTTTGTCATGGCTGTGAATGGGGGTTTCTTTCCTGTAGGTAATTATCATGGATTTTGGTGCTGAAAATTGCTGTGTTTAAAAAGTAACTTAAATGGTAACTAGCCTGTAGCATAGTGTACGTCACCTTTTTGTATTTAAACTTTTTTTTTTATTTTAAACCTCTTACAAAGTTTACCAAGAACTGCCTCTTAATGTAAAAAAAGAAAAAGAAATAAGAAAAAAAACACAACTTCACAACTTTTTTTGTTTTCTGGTTTGGCTGTCATAGGTCAGCTGGACAGGACAATTACTGCTTTTTTGTAAATGAAAATCTTCAGTCTATACAGAAAATGTTCAACACTGCTGTTTCAACTTGCAGTCTTTGAATGGTTCTTATTTTTATGTTCCTCTAGATCATATTTTTTAAAAGATGGTTTAGGGTAGTAACTTGGTGAAATAATATTTATTTCTGGTGAACAACTAAATTATTTACATAATTTAAATGCCGACTTACTACTTTGTGTAACTCTAAATTTGACATGAGGACAAGTCTACCTGTGTAATACGATTTAACTTCTGTACACTTAAAGATGCATTAAAACAATTGGTTTGGGGAAGACGCCATATAGTTTTAACTTACCTGCATGCTGTAAATGTATTTGTGTTTAAATAAAGAGAAGAAAAATCTTTGAACTTTGTGCATTTATGCAGTCTCCACATCTCATCAAATTGTCTCCATATAATACTGTTCGCTTGATAGGTTTCACAACCAGTTACCTCTGTAAACGGTGATCACTTGATGTATCTAACCTCTTACTCCAGTGTTTGTTACAAGGCAATATTGATATTTAAGTCTTAGCTTTCAGAAGACTGTTCATGATAGAAAAAACATACAAACAAAACCCCAAACCAAACAGAAAACCAAGAAACCCAACAGTTGATGCCTATAGAAATGCTAAAACTTGATGGTAGCCACAGTATATGAGAATTTGAACCGCTTCAGTCTCCTGTGTATACTTTGTGTAGTTCTTAAATATGCCAACTTCATAGCCATTTTTAATGGTGTCTCTTGGTTATATTTTTTGTTTCTTCTTTATTATTTAAGCATCAACTTCCACCCTATCTATCTGGGATACAGTAAGTGACATGCTTGAAAGAATTCTCCCTTGGCAAAGGGTGTAGTCACAGGCATTCTTTTTGTTAAAGGAGAGATTTCCTCTTTCACTAAAATCAGCTGTTCTGTTTCCAGATCACTGATCTCTGGCTTAGTATTCAGATGCTTTCCAAAAAAACCCAACAAACTGAAAAATAAACCCCCAAACCCCTGCCAACACACCCAACTCTACTCTCTGAAGCTACGTCTGTACATTTCTTACTGGTTTTGGTTTGGCTTTGTTTAACAGTTGTACTCCAGAATAAGCTGAAGTCAGAATGGGGACTGCTGTACTTCTTTCCAGGAGCTGACTCCTTTTTGTATTTCATTATGAAAGCTGAAGGTGCAGAGGGTCTCAGTCAGCTAAGCTATCCAGTGTACTGGGAAGAGGGAGAGCTACCTGAAGAAGAAAAATACATACAAATGAGACTACTGTAATGGAGCATATTTAGCCTACTTTTGAAAAGAAAAACAAGAGGCTAATATCTAAAGGTGGAAAAAAAGGAGTGTTGTACAGCATAGTGTGGCGTATGCACCCTGAGTGCCTTGCAAGTTTACCTTTCAGCAGTGTACTTCTGCAGGGTCTGTTGTGCTCTATGCAGTTTAGGCACAGCAGTATTGCAGAAAGCAGCTCTGCCGGTAAGCCATCTTCACCTAAGGTGCATAGGAAATGTTGATACACACCTCCAGCAAGTAAGGAGAATAGCATTGCCCACATTCTTTACATTTCTAATCCACAAACCTGGGTGTGGAAATGACTCAGAGGTGCCCCCAGGTGTGTGTTTCAGCTATTTTCACGTGTGTCTTGGTGAGTAACAAGTACCTGGGAGCCCATGTCAATTGTAAGTCAATACAAATTGTGTCCTGCAGTTGGAGACATAGCTTCACAGCTGATAGCACCATGTGAGAGATACCTAAGAAGCCACTTGCTGTTCAGTGGATGCCTGATTTGGCTTTTCTCAGCCAAAAAAACTTTCAGCCAATTGAAAAAGTTTGTTAAAAAGTAAATTAGCTCAGCAAAGTGATGTTACCCTGCCAGTTTATCACCTCCATCAACATGGCCAGTTCCGACCAGCCCCTGGGAGTTGTGCTGCCAAGGCAGGTGTTTTATGTGATCAATCAGCATCCTATTAACAGGTATTTGCAGAGTATTTTGTGCCCATTCTTTTCTGAGGGGGTGTAAATGATCCTTTAAATGCTTTTACTGCAAGAAACCATGACAGATCTTAATCTGCTGCTTAGGAAAGCTGGTTTCAACCACAGCTTACTGCAGGGCCTGTTTTAGTGTCAGCCATGTGCAGCAGCCTGGTTTCAAGGGCCTGATTTGTACTGGGGATTTGCCAACCAACTGTATGCTGGGTTGTGTCGAAAGAAGCATGACCAGCAGGTCGAGGGAGGTGACTATCCCCCTCTACTCTGCTCTCATGAGACCCTGCTGGGAGTATGGTGTTCTGGTCTGGGGCCCTCAACACAAGAGGGAAGTGGGCCTGCTTGAGGGATTCCAGAGCAGGGCCATGAAGATGATCAGCGGGGCTGGAGAACTTCTCCTGTGAAGACAGGCTGAGGGAGTTGAGGTTGTTCAGCCTGGAGAAGGCCCTGGGGATACCTTAGAGCAGCTTCCAGTGCCTAAAGGGAGACTACAAGAAATCTGGGAAGGGATTATTTACAAGGGCATGCAGTGACAGGACAATGGCTTTAAACTGGAAGAGGGTAGGCTAAGGTTCAACATAAGAAAGAAATTCTTTACTGTAAGGGTGGTGAGACACTGGCACAGGTTGCCCAGAGAAGCTGTGGATGCCCCAGCCCTGGCAGGGTTCAAGGCCTGGTGACCCTACAAGGCCATGAAAAAGGGTGAGCCACGCTTGCTGTGTCACTACTTGGGGCGGTAAAACCAGGATTGTTCAGCTGGGGTTAAATAACTATTTAAGGTACGCAGAGCTAGTTATTAACAACCAGAAGCCAACCTGCCCCAAGCAAACCCCTTCTGTGGGTGCTTCATTAACTCTGGACCTCACGGATGTGACACAGAGGGCAGGGCTGCTGGGGGAGAAGGAATCCAGTGGTTGAAGCTGACGGATCATCAAGCCCCTGCTCTCTCCCTTGGTCTGCGCCTCCTTTCTGCCTTCGATCCGCAATTCTAACCCTGCAGCGCTGTGGCAGACGCAGAGGGAGCAGCCGGCTGCGCTGTGAGCGCCCCGCTGCCGGGGAGAGCTTCCGTCCCCTCCTCACGGGCCGCCAAGGCGGGCAGACGCCGCTAGGGGGCACCGTGTGCTAGCGAGCGGGCTCGGGGTCAGGGTCCCGCCAGGGGCCGTTGTGTGGACCCACGGCCTCAGTCACCTCCATGGGCGACCGCGCCGTTGGCGCTGAGCAGTTCGGGGCTCTGTGCGCGGCGCGTTGCCTTTTGTGCTCCTGTGCCCCTCTGCCCCGCCAGAGAGCTGCGGTTCCTCGCACCGACCACCTAGCAGGGCAGGCGGCTGCCGGGCTGCAGGTAGCTATCTCCTCAGAGGGCTGGAGCTTTGCTGGCTTCCTTCAAGCTGCCGTGTGGTTTTCTTCCTTTAAACGTGTTTGTGTTCTGTACAGGCCCTTCCCACCCCACAGACCTCTTCCCCATCTCTGATCTTGGAGGGGACACTTCCACGGGTAACAGAAAAGCCAAGTACGTAAGAACACTAATGGCTCTGGGCCGGCTGTTCCTGCTCTCCTGGTGTACCTCAGTGGGCCATTAGCCTTTTCCTTGTGTTTTTGGCCTGTACAGAGCTTTGTGCCCTCTGGAGCCCTGATGTCCTTTGTTGCAGAGCTCAGTGCAGAGGCTCAGAGCCTGTCCTTGTACAGCCACCTGCCTACCTGTAAGGAGAAACCGGATGGATTTCCTTCAGGTGCAGTGCCACTGAGGACTCCCTGATGTGTAACCTTCATGAAGTCACTTAAGTAAAAACTGTGGAATTCATACTTATGCTAAACACACAATCAGCTCCACTGCCACCATAGAATCATAGAATCACAGAATGGTAAGGGTTGAAAAGGACCTTAATATCATCTAGTTCCAACCCCCGCCACTCAACCAGGTTGCTCAAAGCCCCATCCAACCCGGCCTTGAACACTGCCAGAGATGGAGCATTCACAACTTCCCTGGGTAACCTATTCCAGTGCCTCACCACCATAACAGGAAAAAATTTCCTCCTTATATCCAACCTAAATTTCCCCTGTTTAAGTTTTAACCCATTACCCCTTGTCCTATCACTACAATCCCTAATGAAGAGTCCCTCCCCAGCATCCCTATAGGCCCCCTTCAGATACTGGAAGGCTGCTATGAGGTCTCCACGCAGCCTTCTCTTCTCCAGGCTGAACAGCCCCAGCCTTTACAGCCTATCTTCATACAGGAGGTGCTCCAGCCCCCTGAACACCCTCATGGCCCTCCTCTGGACTTGTTCCAACAGTTCCATGTCCTTTTTATGTTGAGGACACCAGAACTGCACACAATACTCCAAGTGAGGTCTCACGAGAGCAGAAAGGGAGGATTACCTCCTCCAACCTGCTGGTCACACTCCTTTTGATGCTGCCCAGGATACAGCTGATCATGCAGAGCAAGAGCCATTTGTCACAGACAAGTACAGATCCTCTGTGCATCCTTCTATATCATGATATGTAAAGCGGTGACTATAAAATTTCTATTCCATTGAGCTGCATGTAATTGAATAATGACATAAAAATATTGTGAAAAGCTGTGTATTTCTGAATAAGTACAAAAATATTCTCCTAGGCATTTTCTACTCTTTCATTTAAGCATATTTTTTTGCAGGGAGGTACATGGAAATGTCACAAAATTCAATATCTTCATTTGAACTGCAAAATAGTGATATAAGATGCAAAAAGTCAGACCTGTGCAGTGGGTGAATCATTATCAAATCCATTCTTTGGTGAAGCTTTGAGACATTTTTGTATTTTTCTCTTATTTCCAGCTGACTTGTCTCCATTGATCTACAGACACTTGAGAAGCACCGGAGAGGCGGGAAGAGTCATTCCTGATGAGAAATGGATTTTTTCCCCCCACGCTCATTATTGTAGAGGACTGTCAGTTTCCCTTGGCAGCCTGTACAATGGGCTTGCTCTCTAATAAATGCAGATAGCATTAAATTAATGTTTCATTCCCATGGTGACAAAGAGTGGCATCCAGTTACAGCACAGGATAATTCAATGACAGTATGGCCACAAACAACTACCTTGCCTGTTATGGGCTAATCAGAAATGCAGGCTGTTTGAATTTGACTCAAAGCATCCACGTAGCTTGGAGTGAGTTTATTAACCTGGAGACATACTGGTGAAAATGAGCTAGGAACCTGGAAATGAGATAATATGCATAAAAAAGAGCCAAAGCACATAAAAATAAGCATAAATGTGTGAGTCAGTTTTAATGAAAATTTTCCTTCTACTCTTCACCCAGCTCTAACTGAAACCTGTGCAGGAGCTGTCAGTGGAGGAGACCTGCATCCACACCTGCATGCAGGAGTGTAAGTACGTGTGGAGATGAAGAAGAGGATCCTTGTTTTGTATGCTTGGCTAACAAAGCTGGTAGAGATCAGGCTGCCAGAGAGGAAAATGGTGCAGTTAGGCTTTGTCGTGCTCTTTGGGCAGAGTTTGGCCACGTGTAAAAGCTGCAGAGAACCAGCCCCAGAGGTATTTGGGAACTGTTAAATGAAGGAGCTCCAACAGACAAGCAGATCCACAGCAGAGAGACTCTAAAGGCTGTTGAAGGCTGAAGAGTGACCAGAGCCTTCCAGCACTCTGCCGTGCTACTGTGAAGGGAGCTTCTGGCCCTCAGGCAAGACCTAGCTCTGGCGTTCCTCTCTCTTCTCCTCTGCTGCTTTTGTCCCCTTTTGCTGGATGCGTAGCTGATGGGCTTTCATTAGGCTCAAGAGCAAATGCATCTTTCTTTTGAATTTATAATACACATGGGTAGATACTCTGCAGGGAACAAGACACTGAGCTCTTTGAGGCAACTTGTAAAGAAGGAGAGATTTTGCAAGGACAAGGAATTCAGACTTCATTATTATGACTTGCCCCAGGGTTATGTTCTGCACATCAGCAGTTCTGCATGAGAGGAAGGACCAGCAGCAGAGGGTTCCCCTTTTGCTTGTGTTTAGCTGTATGTGCTGCATGTTTCTGAATGCCTATTTTGCTGCATGTGTGAGCTTGGGATAAAATCTCATGTGTGCTAGTTGCTTTTTTCTTTTCATCAGATTAGTTATTTAAAAGCCTCTCATTCATGTCCCCTAGAATTATTCTAAAGATTCTCATTACACTTGTTTATTTTTTCTTAATGAAAGCTCTTGGAGCCACATCTGGCATATCTTATTGATCATAATCTCATGGCTGGAAACTCATCTTGGTAACTATAGCAACAGAATTTTTTATGTTTTTTTTCTTCAAATGCCAACAAAACTCCACCAAAACTGTAATAAGGAGGAGCAGATAATTTAAATTACCATGTAGCCAATACCCTTTTTTCTGTAACCAATTCTGAGTTTACTACTTTGATACAGAAAACAATGGATAGGAACAAAATCTTTTGACAGTTGTATCTGCTATGGAAGCTCGTGAAAGAGAATGACGTGGATGAAAATGGTGTCTTGAGAGTCCTTTTTGCTGGCCATGCACTGCTGTCACACTCCAGTGGGTTGCAGGCGTCACAGGCAGACCAGGGCATGAACCCCAGAGAAGGGGACCTGGGAGCATGTATTTGCAGCCCTCACTCTGCTAGACAAGAAGCCAGGCAGGGGTCTGAAACACTGCCCATGGCAGCTCTTGGGGGCTAAAGGCATTCCCAGAATGTGCCTAAGGGTTAAGGTGAAGTGATATAGACAGAAATTATAACTTTCTGTAAGTGCATTCTGATACCTAAAGACTCCTTTATGGAGGTTGGCACCAACATGTTGTTCTTATCAGCGATTTTCTCAGGCACAAGTCACCTCTGAACCAGGAGGCCTGCAGAAAACCTGGCCTGCATTACAAGACTGCTCTTCTCTCTGCTTCCAGCTCCCCTGTACAGCTCTGAGAGCATTTGGGTCAGTGTTTCTTCATCATGCATAATAGCGGCATCCTGCTAGCACTTGAAAATGGTGATGCTGGGACAGTCAAATGAAGCAGTGGGTGGATGCTGTTGCCTCCCTTGCTTTCCCTTAGGGCTTTCCAGCAAGGCAAGCTGAGAACCACCCTGAGCCTCCAGCCAGAGCAGAACGTCAGATCCAGCTGCAGCTGCCTGCCTTTTTCAGGTCTGCAAGAAACTACATATGGCTGGAAACAGTATTTCTAAAAAATTTCCAGAGTTTCAATCTTTGGCATCATCTCTTCAGCAGCTAAAAAAAAATTTGGCCCTTTGGAAGTGCTGGAGAGCACAGCCATCACTGAGAAAATGGCAGAAGGCAAAGGGTTCCTTCCCTGGGGCCTGCCAGCGCTCCCCAGATAGGGGCTAGAAACTGTTACCATCAGCTCCTCAGTTGGTGATCAGTGTAATATGCTTTGGTAGCCTTAACATGCTCCCCCAGATGGCACTGAGGTCCCATTCCGGGCATGGGAGGTGTCCCTGGAGCATGCAGCCTAGGGCAGGGCTGAAGCTCTTGGCAGCACCCAGCAAAAGGCCTATATTTTTTATTGTTATTGAAATCAAGCTTGCAGCTGGAGGACAAGTCACCTGAGGGCTTTGATGCTCTAAATATCACCTATTTGACCCCTACTTCTATGTAGTCCTCCTCCTCACAGCCCCACAGCAATGTGGTGCAAGGCTTTCCCTGCAGATGCCCTTTCCACCCAAGAAGCCCCATAGAACAACCTCTTTATCCTGCTCAAAACCCAGGCTGGGTTGGTGGTTTTTTTCCAGCGTCTTCCCTGGGTTATGTTAAATGTCCATCCATCCCAGTGGATGGCTGTGGCTGGGTGCAAGTGGCCACTTATGCCTGGCTGCAGCCCTGGCATTTTTTCCCTGTGCAGCTGATGCAGCCGCTCATGCGTGTTAATGCCAGTGCTAGGTCACTGAGCGGGAACAAGGCAAGGATTGTTCCTCCAGGATCCGGGGGAAAGCTGGAACACAAGGCTCAAGGAGGAGAGAGGAAATATGCACCGTCCCATCCCAGACAGCAGCACAGGGTGTGTTGTATCTCCGTTTTACTGTGGGTGATACCAAGGTCTGATTGCTGGAAGAGATGCTTGTTGCTGCTGAGTAAAAGTGTGAGTTGGCACAGGTTGGCGCTGACTTGGTGAAACGTGTTTCCCTGTGCTGCACCCAGAGAGCACCCTGGGAAAGGAGATAACTATCAGGAAAATATATAGCTATGGTGTTGCCAGGGATTTAATGCAGCAAAAATACTTCTGCTGTTACTGGATTCTGCTGGTTGAAGTGTACCTCCCTGCTGTTCAGGTCCCTTGTTGCTTTAATCCTTAGAAATTCAGGAGATGACATCAGTGGGAAGGAGCAGTCTGCCATGTGGTTAAGGATGGGATCCATGGTGCTTTGCTTCGAGGTAAGCTGGTCAAGTGCATTGCTGTAAAGAGTTTGCAATTTTATATGGTGAGAGCAGAAATAGGAAAGTACAACCCTAAGAGCAGGCAAAACAAATGTGCCCCAAAAGAATGTCAAAGACAAAAGATCTCCTGTGGTTGGGGGAGTCTCAAGGGACTTCTTCAGAGAAGTGGGTGTTGTGTTGGTCTGGAAAAGACCAAATGTGTACCTAGCTTTTCTTTCCTCCATTCCGTTTCTTCCCTGCTCCTACTTTCCTGAATGCTATTTCAGGAAAAGACTTTCACCTTAAGCATATATTTTATTGTATTAGCACATGTTAAGGCCTCTTAACAGAGCAAAGCTGAAAGAGTTTGCCTGGTACTGCTGCTAACAACAGGCAATGTCATTGATAGGATCATCAAAACAAAATTCAGCATCTACTGGGAAATTCTGAACTAATACAGACCTCAGAAAAGATTAATGAGGCTGCCTTTAATTTTAATCCCTGTTGTATCTTTATAGCAGTGCAGAAGATTACACACCACCACACATATCTAAGAGAAGCCTCAGACAACACCGTAACCCAGCATTTACATGTAGTCACAGCAACCTGCCCTGACCCTGTAAGGATCTAGTTCTGTTGCCTCCTGCTTTTCCACACCCCCAGTCATTAAAGTCCCTACATGTCTGTCACCTGCCAGGCCACTGCAGCCAGGGAAAAGGGAGGTGCTGACAACTTGTTCACTCAGATTAAGAAGTCTTGGTGGCAGTGAATGTGCTGCAGGGAATGTTTTGGCATTTGATATTCAATAATTATTGGCGTGAGGATGGGAAAGGCCTTTTTGACCTTTGCTGATACACAGTGACCTGAGGCCAGAGGCTCTTGCTGATTTGACCCAAGAAGTGTTTATGGACTCGGTACAAAAAAAGGGAGAGTTTTCACATGTGGAGGTGAGAGGGCAGCAAGAACCTGCAGCTGCCCCTAGGCATTGGTAGGCGCTGGATCAGGGCTTCCCACATCTTGGCTGACTATTTTAACCACTGAACCAGTGGGTGAAAGTAGCAGCAATGAAAACCAAACCCAACACCTTAATGAACCAAAAGAGAAAGTCATGATTCATATATCGGTCTACAGAGAGGATTCCCTACTCCCACTTCCTGTATACCTTCAAAGAACTAAAAAAAACTCACATTGGGTTTTTTTTTTCTTTGGGGGGGGGGTTGGTTTTGGTGTGGGTTTTTTTTTGTGTGTGTGTGGTTGGTTTTTTTTATTTTTTTAAGATGAGATTAGAAAGAATATTTTCAAAGACTGTTTAAGCCCTCACGGAAGTGGGCCTGCGCTCTGCCCTCCCCATCAGTTTTGCCAACAGCTGCCTGGGGCAGGCTCCACTCCCTGTACTGGCTTTTCATCTTGCAGGGAGGTTCCTGCTTCTTCTAGGTCCCCTGTGTAACTGAGGTGTTATAAATGCTAGCTGAAAAGTTAAATAAGTAACAGGGTGTAACTGCAGCCTAAATCATCCCTGTGACTCCAGTCCCTGTTTCTAGCTAGTAATCTGTGATGATTGTAGCAGGATTGTTTTCTAGGCTTGGAGGGTGAAAATGCCAGCTAGAGGAGAGTGGTGTATTTAGCTGAGGAGTTTGGTTTATCTGCTGAATATATTACTGATATGATCATTTGTATTTGACTCAGCATTCATTTAGTACACATGTATTAACAGACACTCATTAAAGTCAGATACAGGCTGCCTACTGCCTAATAGACCAAAAACTTCAGGCTACTCACATCACTATCCGATGTCCGCAGTATTTAGGCATATATATATTATATAATATATATTCAAGTATATACATATATACAAAAAACCCCACCATATGTATTTACACATACATGTGTGAATGTATGCATGTAGATATGTATGTATGTTTGGATTTCTTATTCCCCAAGACACTTAATGTTCTGCTGATCCTTTGATACAGAGGCAGCCTTGTGGATGCTCTCCAGCTGAAATGACCTAATTCAGTTTACGCTGTGAGTGTGGGGTTAGGCAGGGCTGTTCCGTGCTGTGTGTGCAGCCCAAACCCACACAGCCTGAGGTCAGTGGCAGCCCCACCAGTGCTTGGGAGGCTGCATCTAGAGTTCATCCTGCTCCAAAGAGCAGAGCAGCTGCAAGTGAGCATCCCTCTGGCCAGAGGGCAAGGAGCAGCTACTCTGCCCCAGGAGGGCATTAGCTGCATAAACCAGCTCCATGTGTATCAGGCCTGGTGCCAAGTGTCAGACAAGCTCATGGTTTATTTAATACAGCTGCTTCTTAAGCAGAGCCTGAGTCCTGTGCTGTGGGCTCCTTGCTGTGAACTTGCTGCCCACTCCATGGAGCGTAGTGAACATTCGTTAAGGAGCACACAGCACCCTGAAAATGCAGAGCGTCATCCTTTTGATGCATCAAATGCAGCATGGCCAGCAGGTTGAAGGAGGGGATTCTCTTCCACTCTGCTCTCATGAGACCCCACCTGGAGTACTGCATTCAGCTCTGGGGCCCCCAGTACAAGAGGGACATGGGCCTGCTTGAGGGAGTGCAGAGGAGGGCCATAAAGATTATTAGAGGTTCGGAGTATGAGAGAGTTGGTCTTTTTCAGCCTGGAGAAGAGAAGGCTCAGGGGAGACCTTATGACAGTCTTCCAGTACCTAAAGGGGGGCCTACATAAAATCTGGAGAGGGACTTTTTACAGAGGCATGTAGTGATAGGAAAAGGAGAATGACTTTAAATTGAAAGAGAATAGATTTAGATTAGATATTCATAAGAAATTATTTACTATGAGGGTGATGAGGCACTGGAACAGGTTGCCCAGAGAAGCCGTAGCAGCTCCATCCATGGCAGTGTTCAAGGCCAGGCTCATGGGGCTTTGAGCAATCTGGTCTAGTGGGAGGTGTCCCTGCCCGTGTCAGGGGGGTTGGAACTGGATGATCTGTAAGGTCTCTTCCAACCCAAACTATTCTGTGATTCTATGATTCTAACACTGTGGCTGATCATACGGTGTTGCTCGCAGCAGCAACGCACTGGCTGCTCATGACATCAGAGCAAAGGGGCAGCCAGTGGTTCAGGCACTTTGCTGTCAGATAACATCAGTGG